ATGCCTATCTCCTGCTACAGTATTTATCTGCCGCGTATAAAAATACTCGCGGGACGATAATATAGGGTCGTGGATATTCTTACACCGCCACTACATATATTAGTATGATATTCAGATATCACACAAAAATCATTATTTTGGAAATCTTATATAAAATGTATTCATGTTGTTTGAGTTTGCTTAACGAGCGGTGGCAATTCAGGTGATAGGCGCTCGCTGTTAAATTCACAAGACCTACATGTTTACGTATAAAGTCACGCTGTAGCTATATTATCATTGTAGCACGAATGGTTGGACTCGACCCGGGTATTACCACGCTCTCACAGAAAAGTAGCCTAAAATAGCAGCTTAATGCTTCTGTGTTTCAAATGGTGACGTAAAGAACCGGAGACTCTTTTTTACTTGAAACGAGGTATACCATCTTGTACCTCAGGGCTGGCAACAATTCTGCATTTTGATTTTTAATCGTGATATCTATGGGCCGCAGCTTCCATTTACCTTCAGGTAGTCTTTGTGCTATATATAAAGAAAAGATTTCAGGAATAAAAAAATTCGTGGACTTGATTTCTCCCAAGTCCGCAATAAAGCAGTGTTGCGACATATTGCTCCGTTACCCTCTCAGAAATAAAACGCCTGTACCCAGCCGTGGTACATACGTATATAGGCTTAAACTTTTAACATCACTTTTATAACCTTTGAATTTATTAGTCATGACAGATATTTGCGATATTAATTTCTAAATCGAGTTTAAATTAAATCTTTTCCAATTTCACACGCGAGCAGTCCTCGCGTCTTTTGCTTCAACTTTACAATGGATTTACGATCCAATTACAAATCTCTTCGGGCCTATCTTATTAAATAAACTTTTATGAAGCAAGAAATTTTGTCGTAAAGATCCCTAAGATTTTAACAAAAGACATTCACTTTCAGGTCCAAAGTCTTTCAGAGTTTGTGTACACAGTCAGACTATATTATTCCTAGAGTATCATTTTTTACGTTACATGTAGAAACTTGCACATGAGTTTGCTACATATTCTGGCTATAAATTATATTACAATTTTTAAAAATCTTTTTTAACTTCCCGCTTTATAAATTAATAATTTTCAAAAGTAGTAAGTTATAGATTTCGGACGGATTTTAAGAATGCGAGTTTTCATCTGTTCCCCAAATTTTGAAGTCCTAGGAAGTCATTCCGACTATATCCGGCTAGACGTCCGGCTGTGTGTGTTTGTTTGTGTGTGTGTATGTATGTATATAAAATTTTGTCATACAATAGAACGAAGAACCGAGGGCGACACGACGTTCGAAAGTGTTCATAAAGACTTCGACTGGATTAGGTTTTCAAGTCTATAGGTCGAGTCGTTTCAAAGATTTTCAAAAAATGAAAACCAAAAGAACAAAAACAGAATAGATTTTAGGGTCAACCGTATTTTTGACTTCAAATTTTTTTCAAAACCTTTTCATACATACTTATATAATTTTAATTTTAATTTTATAATAATAATCAGAGACGTTTATTACAATATTTTAAAAGCACAAAATAAATAATAGCACTACGTACTAAAATTAAGTAGGATGTATATATTTAAGTATATTTGTACCTAAATACGTCTTGGATTTTATGAAGTGACCTGAATGATGATACGATGATCATATGAGCATTACGAGTCGTGCACTTTTGGATTTTCCAAACTTTTTTTAAATTGAAGTTTGACATAAAATCATTGGAAAATTAGATGTATAATGTATAATGAATGAAATAACATATTAAATGAAATATATTTTTTTACATTTCACACATAATGGTTATACATAGTTTTGAACCTAATTTTGGATTATTTTATCGTAAAATGTACTAACTGCGGTGTTGTTGACTCTTAAATATAAAATTACAAAAATTATAGAAATATTTAAAAAGATATTACTTTTGTAGGCTACTATCCTACATTATACACACACACGCACATACTTACACATATACACACGTACACACATACAGTACTTACATCTACACATTTATCAGATCTACACTTACATTTATCAAAACCATTTATCTCGCTAAATTGGTGACCCCGAACTGAATACGTATTATATAATATAATAATAGAAATAAATTTTTTTTATTATTCAATATAGATCACATGTGTATAATTGTTATTAAAAGTCATTTTTACTTTACCACTGGTTCGAATCTGGATGATTGGCGGTCCACCACTGTGCGATTTAGAAGATGTTTTCTTCCTCGCACGACCTCCTTGTGGAATCGATTACCATCAGCGATTTTTCCGGACCGATACGACTTAGGGACCTTCAAGAAAAGAGCATACTCCTTTTTAAAAGGCCGGCAACGCATCTGCGATTCCCCTGGTGTTGCAGTTGTTCATGGGCGGCGGTAGTCACTTACCATCAGGTGAGCCGCATGCTCGTTTGCCCCCTCTCCTATAAAAAAAAAAAGAAAAAAACCTGTACTAGGAAGAACCAGCAAAAAACCTAACGGGACTATTTTTAAAACGGGACTATTATTAACGGGACTATTTTTGTAAATTTCACATAAATATTTTTACAAACTATTTACATAATTTATTTTAGGAACAGCTTGGAAGCGATCACCTCATTCCCAGGGGATATTATGAACCATGTATTCATTTATATTATAATAACCCTTTTTATACAGTTTTTGTTTTATAAAATATTTAAACTTGGTAATAGAAAGACCTCGTTTATTTTCTGGGACTTTGTTGTAATAGCGTATACATTGCCGAAAGAATGAATTACTGACTCTGTGGAGTCGAGAAACTGTTATGTATGTATAACTTGTGTCTGTTCCTAGTATTTGAAGAGCTTATATCACTTTTTTTTACCAAAACTACCTTTGCTTTTGTGAACATACATTGAATTTTCGTAAATATACTGAGAGGCCAAAGTATGTTTATTTCTTTAGATCTTTTTCTAAAACTCTCTCTCGGTTTTAGGTTGGAAATAACTCTAATGACCCTATTTTTTAAAACAAAAATAGTTTCTAAATCAGCCGCATTTCCCCTTGGCAAAATCCCACAAACAAATGTACATTCTAAAATAATTAAAAATTATGAATCAATTAATTTAAGAAGCATATATATTCATCATTTTTTTTTTGTTTAACATTGTTGAAACGCGAGATTAAAACTTTGTCCATCAGTCTTCTCAAAAGTAAAAGTTCGTTTTAGGATTCACCATTCTCTTCAGCCCATGGCGAACCCAGCTCAAAGGCGTTAATTGCATTTTGTGCTGTCACTCGCGGAGTAGTTGCAATAACTTCGTCGTCATCTTCCTGATTTATTGTTGTATAAATAGAAATCTCTTTTATAATCTCTTCCTCAGACATTTCATGAAAAATATTTTCCTCTTTATCCATTCCATGGCACCACGCTTCGAAATCTTCCGGACTTATCTGTATTTCAGCAGCAATTTGCTCTATTACTTCCGAAGGTACACTGATTTGTGGATCGTTGGTAGGAGTGGCAACTATATCTGGCCATAAATTTTTCCAAGGCAATGTAATAGTTGATGAAGGTAATGCATTCCACGTTTGACAAAGAGCAAAAACCTAGTCTTTCATATTAAATTCTTTTTACGTTTTTTTGGTCTTTTGATACGGCTTTCAGAAGTAGGTTTTTCTTATAATATTGCTTTACAAACTGAATGATATGCTTATTCATGTGTTGAATGTGCAGTGCAGTTTGGTGGAAGAAACATCGCAGTGATGCGTAAACTTATTATTTCATATTTGAGTAACAGAACACAGAAACTTATTATCAAATGGTAAAAGTTCTTCCGGGTCACCTATTCTAATGGTTATTCCTCAAGGCTCAATTCTCAGCTGTGATGAAGATTGCGGTGCGGTCTAGCGTGTGTTCAGGAAGATAACGACGAAGTTATTGCAACTACTCCGTGAGTGACAGAACAAGATGCAATTAACGCCTTTGAGCTGGGTTCGCCATGGGCTGAAGAGAATGGTGCACCCTACAACGAACTTTTACTTTTGGGAAGACTGAGGGACAAAGCCCTGATACTCATGCCAAGCTTGCTCTTGTCACCGACGCCTCAAAAATAGCCTTAGATGCGGTATTGGAGCAGGACAAGGACGGCACGTGGCAAATTCTTGCGTTTTTTTTTTCAAGCAAAATGAGTTCTATTCCACAAAAATATTCGCCGTACGATAGAGAGCTCGCCACCTACGAGTCCATTAAGAATTTTCGGCATAATATGTTAGAGACGAAAAATGTTATTGTCTATTCTGACTACAAGCCTATCAGTTTTGCTTTTCACGAAAGGAAAGGCAACTGTTCGTCTAGGCAGTATAGACACCTAGACTACTTTTCACAGTTCATAACCGAGATAAGGCACATATCTGGAAAAGACTATGGTAACAGTTACAGTCCCATACAGAGTACCATATTACGCTTCCTCAGAACAAAAATGAAAAACGGTTTTGTGTTGAAAAAGAAAGCCGATAGGTCTTCTATGCCAATAGTTTGTCTTCTACAATGCATTAGTTTTAATGTTTTTTTAAAATTTGTTATTATAAAAAAATATTACGAAAGTGTATAACCACAAAAATTAAAATTAATATTTAAATGTAACATCACAAACACACACAAACACTCACGCCTGTCACCCAGAGGCGTAGACAGAGACTACGGACTTCTATTTGGTGCGATCCTGACACACCTCTCTCGCCTCCTTTACATCAATATATCTACGCATACACGCTCCTCGGTTAAGGGTGCTCCTAATCTGGTCCATTTTCAATGTATCGCCAATTTGGTCGATAAACCTTCGTCTAGGGCGTCCCTTCCCGACTCTGCCGTAACATGTACGAAAATATATATTTACAGTTTTATTTTATAATAATAAAATATCAAAAATTGCAATTTATTTGGAATATAGGGTAATAAAAAACAACAATACAAAATGATTAAATTTTTAATGTTATTATGATTATAACATATTCTGCCAAATTATTGATTTTTCTGTTTAAAGTCTGGGCCGTTGTGTGAACCATCATTGCTGCAAGTGCTATCTTCCCAGGCCCAGAAATCTATCCCCTCGATCTCATTGCAGCCGCAGAGAGGGTTGCTGTAAAAGAGACCAGCCCATATCATAATGTTTCATAAACATTTTAATTAAGCGTTTTCAACTGCTGTGACATCTTATATTTAAGAGCCCCTGAGGACTTAAATTCAATGTCTAAGGACCAGTAAAAAGGGTCACCGGTTCTTTATACTCACCATATCAAATATACCGGCCATATTTTATTCAGTACTAACCATTTTATTCGATTACAATCTTAGTATCGAGAGTATATATGCTTATACTATATATTATTATTATATTAAAGTACCGATTTATCATCTAGTTCTTTATTACCGCTTAAAAAACGTAGAATTTTGATCAAGCACTAGATTATAATAAGTAAAATTAGGTTATAAAATAAAATCATGAATCTCCAATTTTTAAAACAAAGACTACCACTAATGTGTACTATGTCTAAAGATTACATTCGTTATCTTAAAATAATATCATCATACAATAATTAATTAATTACCTTGGTCCTATTCTTAAGAACGCACGTCGTTGTATGTGAGTTACACTATCCCCGACATCACACAAAACTCTCGCTATACTGATTTTTCTGATTTCAAGAAGTTGCTCTGAAAGATGATCACAGTATATATTATGTACGTTAATAAGTATTTGCGCTGTAAACTCGTTACTGTTACCTAATATCATGTTGTGTGCACATGTTTTGGAATACCATCCAGATTGTAATTTTGCATTTATTATGTTCAATTGTTCATGTTTTGATGTTATTCTGTTTTTTTATACCTAAATATATAAATAAATAAATAAACAAAGAAGTGCTTATACGAAAAGCATAAAATAATCTTCACGATTAAAAATGCTTCAGAAATCGTTCAACACGAAGCATAGGATATTTTTTTATTATCTCAATTAAAATCTTTAAAACATAAGAAAAAAAGTTAAAAAAATATAATATCGAATACTATCTTGATTATGGCTATCAGCGTGATTTGGTAGGAATAATTTTTAACCTCAAGTAGTTAATAGCTTCTTAGCTTAGCTTTTAAAATTCATCTCGTCATCAAACCCAAACAGTTTCACTAGGTACACTAGATCGATGTGTAGGATTTGTCAGACTAATTTCAACATCAAGTGGAACTTAATATGACTCAAGTTAACCATAAATAATCAGAAGTGTCATTTTAATTTATTCTAACATAAGAAATGTAATATAGCAAGAATAATAATAAAAATATACTCACGCAAAGTAAACGCATTCGGTCTATTCGGTCGCTCGTACCAATGTCTGTCAGATGATACAGTACGTAGCATTTGTTCAACCATAATGCAATACACAGTTACCGGCACATGACCTCCCTTCACGAATTTCTCGATCCATAGACCAGCTTGAAGATCTACGTCTTCTAAATTCTCGTATATTTCTTCAAGCATTTCTATTCTCTGTTAATAAATATATAGCTATTCAGTTACACTTAGCAGTATTTGTAGGTATTTTCTAATAATAAATTTAGGCCCATGCTATACGGCCGATGGAATCCACTTATAAGCTGTAGCTAGAGTTGTACACTTATGATATATCTTATGATATAATCTACGCAAGACAGCATTATAGTATGCGAGTGTGTACGCAAGTCCTCTCTATTCTGGGTGAATCACCGCCGAATTTTGAATTCCAGTCTCCTATTGAGAATTTCTGATGATTTATGACCCGACAAGGGATTCGTATCCACTTTACCATATATCAAAAAGACATTCTGACTTGTTAGCAAAAGTAGTAGAGCCTAGTAGTATTTTTAGTAGAATTGGTCTCAGGTGTCAACTAGAGTCAAAAACATGTAAATATAAAGAATAGATTTACAGCAATTGTCAAATTTTTCGAAAACTATGGCACCACAGCTAAGGGACTTATATCGTGAAAATAACTCTTCTTTTAACCATATACTGTTAAAAAACTAGGTTTTGTTATAACACCAAGTATGTTTTCAAAGAAAACTAAGTATAAGTTTATTGGAAACATGAACAGTTGTTGATAATAGAGGTAGATGATTCGGCTAAATTCCACTGCTAATGGGCGATGGTTGTGTAGTAAAGCAAAACCATAACAAATGGATTAGCTATTACTCTTACACATAAGCCTGATTTATTTCAAAATACCAAAATCTACGTATTAAACTAAGGTTCCTTTTTACTTGTTGCTTCGACTATTATGAAGGCACGGCTAATAATTCAAACTCTAACGAGTTCGCTCTGCAACCAATCTAATTGCACCAAACCAAAAAGTCCATCTAGGGAACATCAAACACCGAAAAGTTATGTACTATCTTAAAGTTTATTAAGATTAAGACAATTGGAATTATTATTATAAGGCTTCATAAGAAATGAAAAAAAAAACTTTGTTATCAAGTAGTAGACCTGGGAAACAAACAAGGATAATCACATAACGTACTTCAGGGTCCATGACATATTCTAAATCTTCAAATTTCATAAAAGACCGTCCCAAACAGAATTCCAAGTATTTTACGTAAGGTTGAAATCCAAAGTAACGATTTTTGGACAAATCGTTCGTTAATATATCAAGTGCTCGCTGGTGAGGTCCGAGACCGCTCTCTCCTAACTGAAACAAAGTAATTTAGAGTTTATTTTGCTAAAATTGTTGTTAAGCTAATTAACATAACAAGTAAGCGACAGTTTATGAAATTTTGCAAACAGAGGAATCAAAAATGTTGATTAAAATTTAGCCATTTTAGTATATTACCACCACATTAATAATATTACATATATATTATATATGTAGAAGGAAGGTCGTCGAATGGCAGTTGGTTGGGAGATCACCACTAGATGGAGTGACGAACTGATGAAACACGCAGGTAGCCGGTAGATACAGATGACTCAGGACAGTTCTTAACGGCAATATATGTGAGAGGTCTACGGTCAGCAGTAGTCTTGTGATGAAAATAATAGATACGTAAAGATACATACATAAATCCACATTTCTGCTAATGACATGAGCAGAGCCTACGGACTGCCATTTGGCATGATCCTAACACCTCTCTCGCTTCTTTCACATTTATATTATCATAGAAAATATTTAAAGATCAAAATAAAATTATTTTTACACCAATTAGGTCTCCAGTGAATCTTGGCACACTTAATATAAAACACTGCGGCAATTCAATGATATATGCAAGGCTATATAAGAGTATATTTTTTAAATACAATATTTTATTACACACAATATTAAAAACTATAATAAAAAAAAAACTAGTAACTTAATTATCATACAGTCCTACTTCCAATTAATTTCTCGGAATGACTGATATACCAAACACAAAGATAATATATATAATAATTTAAGAAGGTTAAATCTAGTCTTCAATAACAAAAAATCTTGTAACAATTCAACATAAGTCGTTTTAGCTCAGGAGCAAAACGTTCACCGTAAATACAAAATAAAGAGAGTACATTACACTTAAGTACTTCTTACAAGTATAGTGGTATTTTTATTTTGTGTCGTAAATTTTATAGTACGTGAAAAAGAGTTGGTTCTCCATATGCACTAATGAAATTTAAATAAAACTAGTGTTTAATAATTTTATCGCGTATTTTAACTTATTTTATATTCCCCTATATCATGGATTACTATCTTTTTTTGTTACCTGTTATTTTACTCGTACATTCTTCTATATAGTGCGAATATAAAATAAGTTAATATTCGCAATAAAATTCGTAGAAATTTATTTTAATTAAATGTGTACTATTCGCGTAAACATAAGAAATCACGAATTAAATTTTCGATTGCTATTTTTGTATAATTTACAATGTACTCGGCGGTGAAGGAAAACGTTGTGACACTTTTTACAAGCGTGAGTTCATAGTACCGATTTAAAATGTTGAGCTAACTTGTCGGTCACTGAAATGTTTCTTTACGTCGTTACAGGTTCGCCTGCGATGAAACGCGTTCGTAGTACGAAAAAGCAAAACAGTTCAATTTACGGTCTCAAACTGACCCGCAATAAGAGTTACATGTAGCCGCCCTGATTGTCTAAGAAATAAAATATTTTAATGACATGGTAAATTCTCATAATCCAATCAAGAATTAGAAATGAAATAAAATATATTTATTTATTCGACAAGAAATTTTGTTTGTCAGATGTCAATATTTTTAAAATATTTAATATAATCGGGTGTTACTATGCGGAAATCATTTATATTAAAAGTATTAAAATGAAAACCTAATATAAAATGATGAAATAAAATGTGTCTGCCCTAATTTGGAGAAGTCATTATTTTTCTACAAATATACTACTGTTTTGAAATAATATTCTTCTTGCCAGAGAAGTAGCGGTTTCTCAATTTTTTTTAATTTATAATGCCAATACAAAAAAGTAAATTATATGAAAAATTTAAAATAATTTACTTAACGGTAACTGGGGCACGTTTTATGATATACTATAAAAGACACGGGTAGTAAAGTGGCTTGCGACTTATTTAGTTTTCAACATAGTATAGTTTACTATAACAAAAACTTACTTCAGGATCAACAGCGTAATCAAATCTAGCGGATGCCTGTCTAAAACTGCCCTGTGTCATGTAATCGATATTATTATCCACAGCAAAGTAGCCAGTTCTAAGAGTCAGATTTGCGATTGGAATCTGTTTCAAGAAGTAACCTTGCGCGTCATACATTCTGCAATGAGGACAAATATATTGATTTTTATACTCAAATACTTTTCTCGCCGCAAATTAGCGACGTAAAAAAATATGTAACTTCATTTTAGCCCTTGGGTGTCGTAAGAACTATGAGAATAGCCAAAAAAATTCTATGACTTGCAATAGATCCACCATCTACATGTAGATTTTTCACTACATCGGACATAAAATACGTAGACCGGTGACGGGCAGCAACATCAAAGTTGTGAGACGTCTCAAACTGTGATTGCCAGTCCATCTGCTAATCGTGACAATTATGGTAAATCTTCGCTACCACGGGAAAGACTCATGTCCAGTAGTGGAGACTTACAGGCTGATAAAGATAGATACAATTTGAGTTCTGGGTTCAAGTGAGAGAGTCCAGAGTGCGTTTTTATTTTCCTAAATCTTGAAAAATGGAATGTATTGTAATCATCATACTGCATTTTTTAAAATAGGTTTTCACACACAAAAATGTAGTTTTAAAAACATTTGCGACATCAATATTGTATTCTATACATAAAATAAAATAAAAAACTATCATCGTCAAACCTGAGAGCATGTCTTCTGCCTGTCAAGCCAAGCCCCACAACTGCACTGTGATTAATTTTGATTATGTTATTATTTTTATATGCATCTTTTTTATCAACCGAATCCTATTTTTAGTTTCAAATATTAAATGAAATTTTAGTACATTCCTATTTGGTTTTAATTGTATGCGGTAACTCGGACTGAAATACCTAGTCAGGTCATAAATTCTGTCACATGTTTAATATAAAATAATTGAAACAAGTTTATTCATTATGTAACCATTTATATACCAAAATGAACTTAACAAAACATAGATTCTTATGACACTAAAGCTTATTCAAAATGACGTCCGTGATTTTGAATAAAGGCCTTCAATCTGCGCGGCCAGTCGTCTATCGCAGCACGAACGAGGTCCATGTCGATATCGGCGGCTGCCTTAATCAAGGATGTCTTGAGTGACTCCAAATTGGGATGAGGCTTTGAGCACGCCTTTTCCTCCAAGTGTTGCCATATCTTATAATCTAACGAATTCAAATCTGAACTGGAGGAGGGCCAGTCTTCGTGCCGGATGAAGTCGATTTCACGCACCGCCGACAGTCTTGTGTGCTCTTCGCTCTATGAGCTGGCGCCGAATATTGTTGGAATACCCAGTGCCTGTTATTGTACATGGTATGAAAAACAGGTTCCACAAGGTTCGTCAGTACTGTATTTTGATACACAACTGCATTCGTTTTTACACCTTTCTCACAAAAATGTACCTCTGTTAAGCCCCAATAAGAAACTCCCAACCATACCATGAGCGAGGATGGAAAATGACTTCGTTAGACACGCGGAATACGGTTGCTCGCTTCTTCACTACTGTGTGCGTACACCTTATCATTTTGTTTGTTGTAGCTCTCTTCTACAGTAAAAATTTTTTCATCCGAAAAAAGAATTTCCCGATATTTCTTCCCGTGTACCGCTTCAACAAAGCGCGGCATCTCTTCAGTCTCAGGTCCATTAGACGAACATTCAAACGATGTCCTGTTTTTCTTCGATATGGCCGAAGCCCTAAGTCTTCATTTAACACCCTTTTCACCGTGGTTATGCTTAACCCCATGTGAAGGGCCAACATTTTCTGCTTACGTTTGGGATTTCTTTGAATTCGCGCCTTCGCAGCTTTTATCACTGCTGGAGTCCTAACAGACCGAAGGCGACCACTTCTTGACCTGTCATCTACACTAGAGTCTTCATTGTATCGTTTGATGGTTTGGTTTGATTATTCAAATTTTTCAGTGTGTCAAAAATTTGAATTGGCGCGTAACCGCAACGATGCAACGCAATAACTGCAACACGGTCTTCTTTAAGCGTCCACTCCATATTTAAAAATGAGTAAAATTCTAAAAAGTATACAGTTTTATTTTCATAAACAATTCGAAATTTGAATTCAATAAACTTTTTTGTGGCCAACATTCTAAAAGAAAAGTTTTTACTGTGTGACAATACTTATGACCTGACTAGGTACTTCTCGAATCATCAAACAAACAAATATATTTTCTAATATGTAACTTAATTCAATAATACATAATGATTTCTTATATTTACGCGAACACTACACATTGAATAAAACTACTTTTACGGAAAGCAACCGAAACGTCGGGAATATAAAATAACTTAATTTAACGCGATAAAATCCGTAAAAGTAGTTTTATTCAATCAATAATACAATAATATTACATAACTTACTTCATACTTCCCGACTGTATTGTGTGGAACCAGCGCAACACCGACGGATACTCAACGGAGATTTGCGGTATAAGGTTCTCGTTATATAGATCTCTGAATCCCAAGTTAGAAGAAATCACGCCATCACTCACCATATTTTGCTTACCTTACCAAAAGCGAAATAATTTTCAATAAAAATTACACATACTTATTGGAAATTAACCATTAAATAAACACGCTAAACAAATATATTCTTTTTACCCGACTTCCAAAAAGGAGGACGTTAACAATTCATAGTAAATTTTGGTTTTGTTTTTTTGTGTGTTCTCGATGTCTTTGTCAAACGATAACCGACTTTGATGACTTTTTTATTAAATAGAAAATACTTCACGTGTATGCTCTATAGACATAGCCACTATAGCAAGAGCAGTACTTCTTACATTATAGTGCTGTAGTTTACTGATTAATATATCATGGTGAACATAATCGAAGGATTTGCATAGGTCACAAAACATACCCAAAGTATCCTGTCAATTCTCCCATGCATTGAAAATATGTTTAATCAGCTCAACATCGACATCAGTTGTCGATAGATCCCTTGTGAAACCATATTATGTTTTATAAAGTATTAACATTTTCAAAATTTTTAAATTCGATCACGAACAATTTTTTCAAAAATTTTACTATGTATCGACAGCCAGCAGACTAAGAAAGCTATTGATATTAACGTTGAAGTATTAAAGTGGTATTACCTAGTAGTGCAGGCAGCAATTCGTACATAACTATCTGCATTTGTATAGCAATTACGATATCTCTCCCTATATAGAATAATCGATCGTCATCCCAGCAGGGGTTAATACGTGCCAGTTCCGTAACAACGCGATTGTGTAGCCTCCAGAACCAAATTACAGCGAGATTCACACCGGCCACACTGTTTGCTCCGTCCTCCGCTAAAACAAGAATATCTCAATAGTTTGTGTTACCACTTGCGACTGTAAATTATTTCTTTTTAAATTTTCTGTAGAAACATACTGGCCAAAAAGAAGCTGCTCACTCAAAAAATACCTAAAAAAACAAAAAAAGAGAAGAAAAAACTAAAAGGAACAACTGAATAGGTTGCTTTCACACCCACTTATTATTTTAAATATCGTTTTTAGAGAAAAAAATCAATATACTAAAACATAAAATTTTGTAAAACACTGTATTTTTGGATATTATATCATCATACCTTCGAGTTCAAGTCTTATTGAAGTTTTTTTTATAATATAGGTTGAACGAGCATGCGGCTCACCTGATGGTAAGTGTCATATTCTCATTGAAAGTAATTTTTTACATTTAACACTGGTTCGGAAATAATCTCTATGCTAGGAAGAAACAGCAAGAAAACCAGCGGAACTTCTTTACACAGTCAAATTATTATATATAAAAAGTTGTACACTTTTAATTTAAGAAACTCGTATTATAAGCAACCACATGACAGCGATCACCTCATTCCCAGTGGTTATCTTCAACAATGATAAACCCTGGAAATATTATTGTACACGCCCCTAGCTGCCCCAACAATGTTCAAATATCCCGGGGCCCATCAGCGGAAGAAGGGTGGGGCTCAAAATGCCTATGGACAATTGAACTACACAATAGAAATAAGGCTAGGTAAATAAAGAGGACGTACCTGGTTCCGATGCGAAGACTGCTCCAAGGCTCGGTCAGGCCGTAGGTAGGTGTAGGTGCATGTAAAGTGGTGTTTAGTGGTGTGTATAATGTTTGACCTGACTAGACCGTTGAAGTCTGACCGCAGATCCACAGGCGCTGCCTCTACTCCAAAGGTGAGATCTCTCAAAAGGGGGCGATCACCAATTGACAACTTCGGTCTTCATTTCACTATCTCAGTTTATCAACTTTATTGTACACTATTTCAATCCATCAACTTTATTGTACATTTAATTAACTTCAAACTCAACTAAATCCCTTTTAATTGTAATCAAAAAAGTAACATACGGCTCGACTAATGGTACGGTGGATCAAAGTTCACTTCCGTTTTCACTCAGCAACGAATTATTTCTAGAACCGAACACGACCTTCTCTAGAGTCACAAAGTTCAGCGTTTAATCGACAACGGAAAATGTCTCCGAACTATATCAAATGCCACACGAGCATATTAATATTGTCAAATGCACTTATATACGCAATCAAATTAGAATAACCAAATTCGCGGCGGTCCACACGAAAAACAAATATTAATAGTAAATTAGGCGCGCACAACACTCAAATTCATAGGTTGATCGCAATCAATGTCAATTTATTTTTCTAAGCTCAACAATATCTTCGTCGGTGCATAAAAACTTGCTAGCAAAACCCGCCACGATATAGAGGTTATACCGGGGGAGAACACGCCGTGCTAGTGCCTGCACTACAATGAATCACTTCCGACCCGCCCCGCAAGCATCCAATCCGATCTCGCGCGAACGTCAAACGGTAGAAAATCACCGTGCTGAGCGCTCCCTGGCGTCGATTCTTGTAATTAGCGTTTGGCGCGAACAATTATAATAACCCTTTTTTAAAGAATTTGTTTATTTCACGGTTAAAATTTGTTACAGAGAGACTAAATATTTCCTGGGACTTTATTGTAATAGAGTATACATTTCCCCGTAAATGAATTATCGACTCTGTGGAGTCTTGTAACCACAGCCTTTTTTATTCCCCTGCTAGACATAGGCCGTTCTAAGAATGTACCATATTCTGCAATTTTGAAGAGTTTTTCAATGATTTGTCAGTTTTTGGTCGTTAAGATCTCGCCCTTTAATCAGTAGAACCACTTGGAGTTTAGATAGGCATTTGTGGAAAATACGATTGATTTTAATATTCTCTTTTCTCTTACTTAAAATGAATGTAATTTTTCTGTATTTTCTCAAAAATTTTGCAACGAATCATAAAAGATAAATAATACACACGTGCGTCATGACATCGAGTTTCGTGTGGCTTTTGATTCAGGAAACAAACGCTCGCGGCAGTCTTTACGCTTGGCGGCCATATTTTCCCACCTTCCACTTCATATTTCAACAGGCCACCTTCGAATTTTCTTCCTTTCTCAAACAAGTTCCTTATTGAATTACCATAAATTGTTGAGGCGTCGAATGTGGGTGTTGCCGTTATTATCTACAACAAATTCCGAGTAAAATTATTAAAAATTCAATTTTAAATCAAATCTACCGTGCTAGCTAAGCGTTCTTACTCAATTTCATAGTACGTTTGTGAACTGACTTCAATCCACGATGGCTTTTATGAAATTGTGAATAGCAATTTTAAGTGCTTATTTACGACGTCCTTGGCGATGAAAGGAAACATGAAATAACCTGCATTTTCGGGAAATAAAACCCATGTGAAATCCGCCAACTGGATGACTGACCACTGGCCACTGACTAACAGTGCCACAATATTACATTATATGATCGTATATTATATTAAACGCAATCAAGATAAATCTATATTATGTATTATATATATATATATATATATATATATATATATATATATATATATATATATATATATATATATATATTAAATTTTTCTTATTGTTAACTCTTCATTCATTCTTTTGTTCATTTTTACAAAGGCCATAGCCTCTTGGCAGGCGAGTTAGCAACCGCGGTGTTTTATTATTTTGCTCTATTGCCATTTACTACACCCACGGGATATGGTGTATACGTGGTGAATTCTCTGACGGTGCCACTACACGGTGGCTTCCTTTTTTCTTATTGGTAGTTAATTTTAAACCAATGAAAAAATAACTTACACGTTCAGGGTATGTATCTTGTCTGACACAGCCAACGGACTGAAAACTCTCCGGCCTAGTCATGTTCATACATCTGATATTAGAAAAGCGATGCACTGGATCGTCGTCTGGTATTTTGTTTGGAGTGCAAGCGCGATCTGATTTGCCTTTAGGCTTACAACAATATGGCTTCCATAATACATAATTAACTAAAACCATTTAAAGTTAATGATAATTATATCTTAAGTTTAGTGTAAAGAAAAATAGTATTCAAAAATTTTACGAAACTACTAACGTTTCGGGAGCAGCTTTAAGACAGTACTGAAAGGACTTTACTCGTAAACTCGTGCGTACTCGTAAACGCGGTGAAATCAATAAAAAAGGCAATTATAAAAAACGTAAAATATAAGACATAATTAATAACATATAAAAGAAACAAAAGGTAATCGACAAAAATAAAACTTAAATCGAATACTACTTACTTAAAAGTTTGATAAGAATAGGCTTACAAATTTTATACAGAATATGACAACAGAAATGGAAACAAAATATGCAATATAAGTAATTATATTTTTTTTCATGTCTACCCCGGTGCACTAAAACCATTTTTAGCGATTCTTATTTAATATTTACTTACCTGTATCGTGAAAAGAAAGCACATCGCCACTCATTAACAATAAGATATGGGAAGTTAGTTGAGTAAACTTCCGATCAGATATATAGCCTTCTAGAAGAAGGTGCTTCCTTAAGAATCTTGGAAGTGGCAAACTATTTCCGGATTTTGATCGCCGTGGTTCAAAGTCTGCGCAAAGTTTAATAGTATAATATTTAGTTACATGCTGAAATTTGTGTCCGATAAGAAATTAACGTTGGAAAATTCAAATGTGGTACCACGATCAAAAAACAAAAATGACAAGAAAACATATGAACATTAAACTGATAGAAATTTTTAGAAATTTGGTTGACTTTCGTTGATATGTTTTAAACCATAAGGACACAACTACCAAATTTATGAAGAAATCATTCAAAGGTTGGATGAAAACCCAGTTTAAGATTTTATAATTTATTAACTGCGTGCTAATACAGAATAATATAGGTATCAAAAACATTCTTGCTCCATTTGACATTGATGTCATTGTGCTTGATGCACTAAGTACACACAACTGGATACTTTTATGCATGTTAAAAAAATCTGTAACCCCTTGGTGACCTATTACTGATAAGACCTTCACATTTTTTAAAGAATAGAGTGACAAACGAGCACACAATCCACCTTATGGTAAGTGGTTGCTGTGACCCATGGACATCTACATCTATCCTCAATAAAGAATCCAAATGCAGATGCGTTGTCACCCGTGAGGACTAAGATGGAATGCCTCATCTCCAGTAAAAAGGATATATAGACCATACCAACTGCATAATTAAAAGCACAACATTATTATTATAGCCACTCGCGACTATTCTAAGGTCAGGTAAAGACCACATTCGCATAGAATACCAGGGTAAAATAATATAATAAAGCTGGTGTGTTTCGTATGGTGATGATGATGTGTAAAATGATGTGTAAAAACGTTACCCCCACACTAGGATTTTCTCCTGTGTCGTGGAGGCAGTTTACAAACATAAATTTCACAAGGACAAACATCCAGATCCGGAACAATTAATTGTAGGCCATACAAATACTTGTTCCGTGCGGGATTCGAACCCGCGGCCCCCAGCGCAACAACTGATTGTTAAGCCACTGCGCCACGGAGCCGTCAAACTGCTGTTGGACCGTAGACACTTTTTACTTGTATTTTGTCAAATAAAAATCATTTGAGCATCTATCCACAGACATGATGACGCATATTTATTTTGATTCTTAACTGAAGATAGATATAAGAGGTGTGTACGAGTCACACGAAGATAATATGTATGTTGTACTTCCATTACATCCGTTACAGCCTTACATCCCCCGCAGATTGCCTAATGGTAACATTTTGTCATAGTTGTCACGCTTGGCAAGCGGATTTTTAACCGCAGTTTGTAATAATTTTAAGATATTTACAAAAAGATGCTACTAACTATCTCTTGGTTTATTTTTCTCTGACGCTTCTCACACTACCACCACACAGTAATGTATGTTGTACTAACCTTTATCAAATACTGGAGATAGCAATCTGTATTGAGGTGTGTGACTCATCCCTCTGGTAGGGTAGCGTAGATTATTACAGGAGCCATCAACACGCCGCCCTTCGTAAGGGTTGCACGGGTAAAGTTGGCTAGTACACCAGCTAGAAACAAATGACGAATTAGTGACAAATACTTCTAACTGTATGATTTTAAATGTTGCTTTTTCAATAGTGTGTGGAGTGAATGTCACGGCAAAAAAGCGTTATTTTATATTTTGTATATCAGATATCTTTGTTTTATATATTAATATGCAATTGTAAGTAAATTAAATCTTACTTAATATGCAAACATAAAAATTTAAAGAATACGTTCGCATTTCGACCGCTTGGCAACCACTAGTTATATTTAACTTAAGAGTTTTTTACAAAATAGCTGGAAGGACTGAGCTCTTTTTATAATACTTGTCTTTCAACCCATAGAGAATAAAACAATAGCTACTTTATAGCCAGGCCACTATTAATTCCTTATTTAAAACCAATTAAAAAGAGAATGTTCAAGGCTAACGTGCCTGGCATCTTTAGCCGCATCTCTACTTTATTTCATGCGTGATTGTGCTCAAACGTTGACTATATACGAGTATTAATACGAGTAAAAGAAATTCTGAACTTTGCATCTTGTAATTAATATGTATTATTGTATTATATTAATATTGTTTATAATATAAATATGCAATATGCAATAATTGTAAATTATATTATAATTTATATAATATTGTGTATATTATTTATTACACTAGGCTTACCTTTTTAAATATATTTTTCAGTAGACCCACTACTGGAAGATATTTCAAGAAATTATGGAATTATTAGAATCTTTCTACAAACTCACTATATTGTACGGAGTACTGAATGTTTCTGTCTAGTTGTGTGTACACAATTAAAATAAAATAAAGTAAGATAAAATTCTGAAAGGATTTTAGGGTCGGCAATACAATAAATTCATCATGGCGGCTTTTTCAAGGCCTAGAAATATTTTATTTAGCTTTCCTCACGATGTTCTTTTTCCTTATGTTATTTCCTTCACCAGCGAGTATGTGCTTAAGCACTTCAAATAATCGGCAATTTTTTATTTTATTTATAGACGAGGTTCAGAATAAGTAATATAGGCATAATATGAATAAAAATTAATTAAACGTCGTCTCAAACATTCTGTCCTTTTTATCTTTTAGACTAGCAGCCCGCCCCAGCTTTGCCCGGGTTAAACAATTATCCATATAGGTATAATATTTTTCTGCGGCTTTAATATAAATTGATTCTCCGCATTTCCTGACCTAGCGAGACCAATATATAATTGTCCATGAGTAAAGCAATCTTCCCTTAAGTCAAGTCCAATATATTTGAAGATCAACTTTAGATTTGTTGATGGTGAAGGTGAAAGAAATTTGGGCGGCGCTGCAGTCCCTTCAGCGGTGCCAAGTTGATTATCGTTATATCAAAGTGCTGAAGTGTTTGTACAGTAGGGCTACGATGGCTATCCGAGTACAAAATCAGAGTACGAAACCTATCCAACTGCAGAGTGTAAGACAGGATGACGTTATATCCCCGAAACTCTTCATCACTGCATTGGAAGACGTTTTCAAGCTACTGGACTGGAAAGGATGCGGTAATAACATCAATGGCGAGTACATTTCTCACCTTCGATTTGCCGACGATATAGTCCTTATGGCAGAATTACTGGAGGACCTAAGCACCATGCTCAATGACCTCAATAGTGTCTCCCAACGGATAGGTCCTAAGATGAACATGGACAACACAAAAATCATGTTTAACTACCGACATAGGTGTGACATGGAACACCTATGTCGGTAGTTGTTGGGAGCACTAAACTCGAAGTTGTTGACGAGTATGTTTACCTGGGACAAATAGTCCGACTAGTTAAGTCCAACTTCGACCGAGAGGTCAATAGATGGATTCAACTCGGCTGGACAGCTTTCAGGAAACTACGACACATTTTCTCGTCAGACATGATTCATAACCTGAAAACGAAATTGTACAACCAGTGCGTGTTGCCAGTGATGACTTACGGATCTGAGACGTGGTCCTTCACTACCAGCCGTATGAGGAAACTCAAGGTCGCTCAGCGAGCTATGGAGAGGGCTATGCTCGGGGTTTCTTTGCGTGATAAACTTAGAAATGAGGATATATGCAGTAGAACCAGAGTAATCGATATAGCCCAACGGATTAGTAAGCTGAAGTGGCAATGGGCCGGCCATATAGCTCGAAGAACCGACAACTGATGGGGAAGACAGGTTCTCGAGTGGCAGCCCTGCCGCTGGTCCTGTAAAAATGATACTCTCAATCACATTATTACGTAGCGATTTTACTTGAAGTCTAGTTCCTTTGCACAGATAAGGAAGAGTAAGCTTTCGTAATTAAGTTATTGGATTAACGACTTTAATTTTTATAGTATGAGGGGGAAGTCCTGAAGGGTTAAGGGAGTTAAGGAATTCCTGTGGGTAATGTATAAATACCGTATTAGATACAGCGTCCTCTGTCTTTAATACGGTTTCAACGGATTTATATATTTTTTGATTACATAATATTCTTTCTAATATAAGAAAACTATTAATTATTTGATAAACAGAGGAATCTCTCGCATATCCATATGAAATATTTTTGTGAAATATTCTCAATTGCTAGGTAAACATGTAAAATCAAATCATTAAGATTTGAGATATATATTTTTCTAACTCATCTTTTTTAATAAGACCATCTTCTTCAGGTATTTTCGCATCACCTACTCATAATACAAAATTCGCGAAATGCGTATTACCTTTCCTAAATGGGCTCTCATCATTGAGTTATATGTACTACATACTAGAGAAGCCTTTCTAAACAAAAAATGTGTACTACTCTATGTCTTCGCGCATGCGCGGGAGATAGTAAAGTCGCGCATGCGCAGTTGATTTAAGCGCGTTGCGCCTCCGCGGTCAGTTTATATAAAGAAATATATTTTTTCATGATTTTTTCTTTTGTAATATTATTACTTAATTATTCACTTTAACAACAACTGACTTGACTACTGAATTGTTATTTACAAAATGGCACATATATATTTAAAAAAAATGTCTTGAACTTATATTATATATATATATATATATATATATATATATATATATATATATATATATATATATATATATGTGTGTGTGTTTATACATATTTTAAATGCTACATTCTTACCATTTAAATAAGTAATTATGTTACATTTTCTCATAGTCCACGACTGAACATAGGCCTTCTACAAAGATTGCATTACAGGGGTATATTTGCCACGCTTGGTTGGATTTATTTTAAAAAGGCGCTACTGCCCATCTGTACGTTTCTTTCCCTCTATCGCTTTTTACTCCAACATAAATTATAAAAGTAATTGAATACTATATACTAACTACTTACAACGTTGTATTTCTTTTATCATGTTGTTTTAGTTCTTCCAGTGTTATTGGAGTTGCAGTGTATGTATCAAAAACAATAACTGATGAACTCACAGCAGCAAAAAATGACGTATACTGGATAAAAAATACAAACATTTTCGCAATTTATTACGTTAAAACACAGGTGTTGTCACTAAAATAGCTCATACACAAATGTTGGTATTTTAAGGGATTCATCTGGATTTATTTTTAAGAGCGCACACTTTAAAACAGGTTTTAAATATACGAGCACAATTTAAAACAGGTAGATTCTCTAGATATGTAACTTACGAAGTACACTCGATAAAATGTCAAGTGATAATAAATTACTTTGAATGGAAGGATTCCGTACAAGGACATTGAGAGAAGAGCTTGAGAAATGTTTAATGAAACTATGAATTCTTCTTCAATATTGACAAAATTATTCAATTTCAGCTGCGGTATCATTGATTTATTTTTTTCACAAGTACACCTATTATACACATACATGACATTATTACAAAAAGATACACATTTTCGCACTCTCTGATATGCATATCAATTTCACGTGGAACAAAACTTCGGAGATTGAACCATGAAAACTTAATTTTGGATTAATTTGGAGTAGGAATAACATCCAATCGAAACAATGAGAAATTATTCAAATAAGTTATGTACCTACATAAGGAAAAATCAATTGAGTATTTCACTTAAAGTTCCCTTCAGGAGAATGCACATTTTTTTAGAAAGTACAAAATAAATTATATACTATTGAAATAGGAAAAATATAATTTTAATGTGGTGTTCGGCGATAAATAATCGGTAAGATTTATTTTAAAATCAATATAAAAGTCGTAAAATATGTTTATGCTAGGTTAGCTTTAGATAATTCGTTACATGGTGACATTCCCGAGATGAGTTTTCGCGAAAGGAATATGAAATATTTTCAAAACGCGGCTATATTTACGAGGAATAGCTAACGATATGCGATCAAGAAGGTCACTGCACTTCATTGTGTACTATTTTATACATCGCTTATTTTGAAAAGATATCAAATTAAACTTATCCAGACGTTGATTGTAAGGCTGCCTATGTGAGATACTACTGGCATAAAAGGAAAAATTTCAAGTAAAGGCACGCTGTATCCAGATGATTCCATGGTGATTTTATATAGATATTTCTTTTATTACTACCTATACTGACTGTAGTGAGAACTGCAGTCCATGGACATTTTCAGCAAACTTCAAACTAGGGCTAGCAACCATCAAAAATATGCAGTGTAGATAAAATACTATGCTTCGCGTTGGCTTTTACATTGGCCTGCTATTGGGTACGGTACGATTTGGAATTAGACCACTCAAATCTGATCTCGTCTCAATGTATGGTATCTAATTTAAGATGAAGACTTGAATGCCTTCTCTAGACTTACAGACGATGCTTATTCAAAAACTAAAGCAAATAATGATGCTAAAACGAAGGTAAACAACTTTGGTTTTAAAAATAAACATACGTGCAATAAGGGAATTACAAAACATTCGAGATTTGAAAAATGTTTTTTAATTCTGGCGATTTACATAATGAAGTATCATGTGATAACCATCTTGCGCTTCGTAAAGGCACTGGAAACAAAAGTATAAAATACAAGAAAGTGACAAATACTCGAGTTTCTCATCGTATTCAACATGAGGATGAATAAAAAGGCTGGCTATAGACATTAGTGCAAGTACCGCTGTATAGTAGCTGAAAAACATAAGAGGGTGATAACTACCCAGACAGACTTCTAGACGAATAAATAATATATACGATACCAACTAGCAATTGTATAGTACGCGGCCATAAAATTTACACGTCCAGCTTTAGAAGGCGACTATCGACCACAATTGGCTAGCTTCCGATTTGCCGAGCATTATCATGTCATTCACACAAGTATTGTCACTGAGTTCTCAGTAGTACAACGGCTTTAGACGCCTGCAATACTAAATGTATAAATATAAATAATTTGGAGTTAATAAATCTGTATTTTTTTATAGGATAGGGTGACAAACGAGCACACAGTCCACCTGATGGTAAGTGGTTGCTGTGGCCCATAGACATCTACATTTATCCTCGTTTGTGAATCAAAATGCAGATGCGTTGTCACTCGTGAGGACTAAGATGGAATGCCTCTTTTCCAGTAAAAAGGGTCTCCGGTGCTCTACACTCACCATACGAAACACAGCAGTGTTATGCTGCTATTTTACGCTGGTATTCTGTGAGAGCGTGGTCCTTCCCCGATCGAGCCGACCCATTCGTGCTACAACTATACTATTAATATAGCTGCAGCAGGGCTCTACCACGTATCATGTATTTTATAAAGGTACATTTGATTCAATTTATAAGCACATGATTTGTTCACAACTCTTAGTCAGTGTCCTGTTACCACTTCGTGAGACAGTAACAGAAACAGAAACTTTCTTATTCAATGTATTTTATAAATAATACTTATTGAAAGTCACTCTTTTTTTTTTAATTACACAGATTACACAGAACCGGCGCTACCCAAAAAAAAAAGAGAACAAATGCTATATAAGTGTAATTAAATTCAAATTTATGTAGTAAAATGTTATATATATTTTAATCGGTGAGTTATTTTTGTAGCAATGCAAAAAAAGCTTTATTACATTCATCTTTTACGTTTTAAATCCAAAATACTTTCGTAAAACAATATGATGTAATTAATTTTACTGCTGTCGTTCATATAATTCCATAACGGTGTAAAAACTGTAATACTTATTATGGCTTAGTACCAACGGAGATTTTAGTTTAAATCCAAAGTTAATTTATATAAATATTTGATGATTTTATTGCGACCTTGAAAGTGTTAACTTATGAGTAAAATTAATTAAAAAAATATTTTTTCTTATATATGATTTATATTTTACCTTAGAGTGTTTATAAGCAAGCTATAGAGCGCGCGTAAGCAAGTCACCGATGTAAACACGCGTTAGGACAGTCTAAAAATGGCCAAGAGAACGTTATTAGTCACGAAAGGTCACGCGCATTGATTATTTCTCTCGGCGGTTTTTTTTATCTTGAAGAACTTTGATAGCATTGTCGTACTTTATAGCATCAGTATGATCGGGATTTCCGGACATGCTTTTAACTACTGAGCCAAGTCCGTCAATGAGTCCTCTTTTCCGTCGATTCCGTGGGAAATATATCAGTTGGTTGCATATTTGATCGAATTTAGTACTTAAATGTTGAGTGTGGGGATCGTAGAATATTGAGGTTTTATTATTCAGGTGCGGCTTTATTCCGACAAGTTAAGTTTTAATTAATTTATTGGAAATTAATTGACGGCTCCGTGGCGCAGTGGCTTAGCAATCAATCCTTAGCAATCATCAAACCTCAAAAAAAAAAGCAAGTATTTAAACTTTCTCATGTAAGTGAATTGTTGTAAATTCTTATGAGAAATAAAGACATCTCAAACCTCAAACCTCAATCAGTTGTAGCGCTGGGGACCGCGGGTTCGATTCCCGCACGGAACAAGTATTTGTATGGCCTACAAATAATTGTTCCGGGTCTGGATGTTTGTCCTTATACAATTTATGTTTGTAAACTGCCTCCACGACACAGGAGAAAATCCTAGTGTGGGGGTAACGTTTTTATTTTAACAAAAAGAAATTCAATTTGATTGATAATTTTCTTAAGGTCTTCGTAACTCAAAAAGGAATGGTAATGGGATATTATTTTTGTTGGCTCTAGTTTAAATGAAGGTAAACCCAGCCTTCTGGTCCGCCATACCAGGATTATAGGAACTTGTCCCAGAGTCAGTTAGAGGAGTTCCGTTAGTAGAAGTACACTGTAACAAATTGGTATTTTCAGGACATCATTTCAGTCGTGATTTAGGTACGGGATCGCATTTCTTTTTTGGATAAATATGAACGGGAATATCGGCGAGAACTGTGACACGTGTAAATCGTGCAGTCAATTTCGATTGACTTGTTTCTGGGTTTTGTACGAATATTGTCGGGTCAGGTGTTACTCCATTTAAGGTCTTGGTCTTTGTTTCGATTTACAGTTCTATGGAGTAAATACCATTAGTTAATAATATTACATACTTTAGTCATTCGTTACCTATGGTCTGGTAGGTAATGCTGAAGAAGCTGTTCTGATAAATTAATACTTACTAAGTTACGCGAATCCAGCAATTATAAACTATAAACAAAACTGTTATTAAGCTATAACAGTATATGGCATAAAATTAATTACTTCTCAAGCTTTAAAATCATAAATTTTCGAGAATAGTAAAATGAAAACGTTCTAATATTCCGTTGTCATTTGGTGTGTGGGTAAGTGTTTTGTAGTATTGTTTATTGTAAAGTCTAGTAAATTCTGAGCACGGTTGATTTGTAAATTCCGTACATTTGGTCATTAACTACGATGGTTTTTTTTAGGATAAGGTGACAAGCCAGCACACAGACCACCTGATGGAAAGTGGTTGCAGTGACCCATAGATATCTGCATTTATCCTCAATAAAAAATCAAAATGCAGATGCGTCGTCACTCGTGAGAACTAAGGTGGAATGCCTCTTTTCCAGTAAAATGGGTCTCCGGTTCTCTACACTCACTATACGAAACACAGCAGTGTCAAGCTGCCATATTACGCTAGTATTCTGTGAGAGCGTGGTCCTTCCCCGGTGGAGCCGACCCATTCGTGCTACAACTATACTACTAATATAGCTGCAGCATGGCTTTACCACGTATAAAAGGTTTGTTTTACCCTCATAATATTTTTAGTAAATTCCTGTTGCCGGAAGTAATTATTATTTGACATTTTCTGGCTCTGCGTTGGTTAGCACAATATTCATAGCAGAACTTTTGATTTTATCCTGGTAGTTTGGTAGGTAGTTTTAATTTAGTATATAGAAAAACTGGAATGTATTATAACACTCGTTTTTATTTTCACATACTTCTTTATTGATGTAATAACGTTATTTTAGAGATTCGACCCGGAGATTTGAATAATCGTAAGATTATGCATCCCAAACGGTTTCCTAACTTGCGTCTCTTTTTTTATAATCTCTACCAAATAAAAAAAATTCGAGTAAATTATTAAGCGGGTCTTCACTTATAGGAAGTTCTAAAAGTGGATTTTCATTACTCGTGTGAGCTGTTGCAATAATAGAGCCAGAAATAGAAGCAGGTTTCTCTGTAGACTGACTACTGAAGAACTTGTATCCTCATTGTTAATCTCGATTCGCGATAAGGCGTCGGCATTAGTCTTTAATTTGCTTTACTTATAAACCATTGTTAAAAATGTCGTATTCGCTTAATTTAGGTCCCTAACGCATTAATCTAGATTTAAGCTCCTAAAAACTCAAGGCTCACTGGAAAGGATTACGATCTGTAACAATTTGAAATTTTCGAGATTACGACACCGAGGTAGCGACACATACATTTACTATATTGCTGCCTGTCCACTGGATGCCCGTCATTCGAGTGCCTTTTTTATCGTAGGGAAATCCTCATGGATACCTTCAGCTGCGGGGGCAACAGAAAGGTTATGCCGGACTCCTACCGGCCAAAACCCCACGGTGGTCGCCATCGGCGTATATGAGAGATCCCGGGATCTCCATTACAAACGCAACCGGGGCCCCTCTGTCGCTTTGCTCAATAAATGCTCGTCACGGGTGCAGTCTTTACTACCACCAGCATCCTAGCAATGCCATCACAGTGCTCGAGACCACCATACAGCACTTGAAATGTTGATAATTATAAAATAAGCGCTATAAATTCAGTATGCTTAAAATGAATGAGGTTTCAAAAATAATTAAGAAGACAAAACTAGTGCAACAATGTTTATTAATTTATATTATATTATTACATAAATAAAACCTAAAACCGATATCCCATATGTAACGTGAGAAAATTAAATATATTTTTATTTTGTCTCATTCATTTCTTATTAGTTTAAGGAACTGGTTTTTGAAAAAATTTGCTGTATTGTAAGATGCATCAAATTGTGAACCCAAGTTGTCACATTTCGGGTCCTTCCACGCCCAGAGACTTGCAACATCAATGTCATTGCAGTTACGCAAAGGATTGCTGAAAATAAAACTTATCATATTAAGCAATATTCTATGGGATACATTTCGTAAAGTGTGTACAGGAACTTCAAGATTTAATTCCTCTCTACGCTTTTCACTATCGAACAACTAGATGCTCGCCGAGAAAGGTGTGGAGTCCTTTGCTGTCGATATTAAACGCATTTGAACTAAATGATTTTCTGTGTCATTCCTAATGCGTTAACAGCAAATATGTGGAATAATTTGACCTGTCTGTCTTTGTGGATCTAGGATCTTCAACGCAAGAGTGAAGAGGCTTTTGTAGCGCTAAGGTGGTTCAAATTATCATCCAAGGCTTCATCACTATTTACTACTGGGTTGCATTGTAGTGAATAAGTAGTTGATTTATTTACATACGTCATTCTGAGCATCAGTACTCCCTCAGGTGACAGGTACTGCAGTATTTGCCGCGTTTTGCAGAACGGTTTATGATCCAGTAACAGATTGTTTACATTTGATACCGACTAGACTTAAATATACTCGGTATAGTATATCGTTATCTATGTGAGGCCAATATTTATGACGTGAATACTTGTTTGAATTTGCTTTCATAGTGGGAGACATTCAGAAAACTGAGATGACAAAACGGGGATACAGTTTGGTGTTGCATCCAAATCATTTACATCCAAAATTTAATTACACAACTCGATAGCTAAAGGATCAAAGAATAAGTAACGTTAAGAGAGAACTATGACGCATCGCGCGCACCGGAGGCGGCAATGCCGCCGTTTGAGGTCGTTTCGTTACGTAAACGTTTTCACGTAAAATTCACGGTCGTGTCTACCACACAGCTATTCCCCATTTTTTTTACGCCAAGATGTGAGTGAGAATTCTTGAACAGCCAAAACACGTCATTACTCACATTACTTCTTAATTAAATAAATATTTTTAACATAAAATCTCAAAAACATATTTATATTCCCAAGATAATATTTGTTTAGGTTGTACGTACTTTGGGCTTATCCTGTAGAATGCTTGACGTTGTATGTGGGTCACTTTATCCCCTACGTCACACAGCATACGCGCCACCGAGGCTTTCCTTATATCCTGTAGTTGTTCTAGTGTAAATAAAAAAAAACGCTCCATTAGTAAATAAACAGGTTTATTTTTCAAAGAGTATGCAAATTTTATATTTCAGTTCAAATAAAATAAATAAGGCTTCTACTTTTTACTAAGCGAAAATAAAAATTATGGTGAGTAAAAAAACATAAAGTAATTCACGCTAGCCATCTTTCATCAAATTCCTATTTCTCAATGACTACAACAAAGACGCGCTACTTAACACTTCGGTTTTACACAGCTGTAACTTGAGCCGTGGTAGTTCAGATGGTTAGCGCTCGCTTAAAATTTCACAGTACGCGAATAACCTATGTTCTATCCCCGCCGGCACCAATGAAATTGTTAATTGCAATTTTAAGTGCTGATTTACCACGTGCTCGGCGGTGAAGGAAAACATTGTGAGGAAACCTGCATGTCTAAAAAATAAGAAAAAAAATATTTCCAAGATATGTGAAATTCGCCAACATGCATTGGAGCAGTGCGGCGGACATTTTCTTGCCCTAAAACCCTCTCAAAAATGAGGAGAGGTCTGTGCCCAACAGTGCGACGTATACAGGGCTCTAACTTTAACTTTAACTTAATTTTTAACTTGTTGTTTATTATTATATTATCTAGCTAAAGGTATACTAGTTCTGCCAAGCCTGTAAGGGACTCCGGGTCTTTTTTTAATTCGTGTTACAATTGCATTTATACAAATTACATCTTATAACCAAACAATATTTAAATGCGTACTAACCATATGTAAATGCATACTAACCATATGTAAATGCGTTCGGTCGGTTGGGGCGCTCATACCAATGTCTGTCTGACGCGACAACCCTGAGCAATTGTTCCACAACAATACAGTACAAAGTAGGTGGTACATTACCGCCCTCAATCAATCTCTCCAGCCAAATTCCAGCCATTAGATCTATGTCTTGCACATTCTCATAAACCTCTTTAAGCAGTTCGACTCTCTGAAACAGGCACGTTATTTGGTTTCATTCTTATAAACTGTTGTAATGGTGATTCAGTTATTATCCTTATTTTGCATATGGTTTTAACTTTAAAATATAATATTATCACTGCATTATCGTGAGATGGCGGCATAAGAGAACCCATCACCCCATTTCGTCTCGTAAGTTTCGTAAGAGGCAACTATGGGAAATACTATAGAAGTCTTACAGCTTCTGCTAGATGGCAGTATATCATACAGTTTAAGTTAGTTTAGTTTAATTAAATTTACAATACCTAATGTAAAACATTCGAAAACCAATGTGCTCTTAAATGGGGAGGAGTTGAGTCTTGTGGATACCACTGTTTTTCTCGGTATTACTATTGACGCGAAACTTCAATGGGGCCCCCATATATCTAAATTAGCAAGCAGACTTAGTTCTGCAGCATATGCTGTAAGAAAGATTAGAAGTCTCACAGATGTTGAGACAGCTAGGTTAGTGTACTTTAGTTACTTTCATAGCGTAATGTCTTATGGAATTTTGCTATGGGGTAATGCGACTGATATTGAAGCTATATTTGTTTTGCAAAAGAGAGCCGTACGGGCGATTTATAATCTAAATTGTAAAGAGTCCCTTAGAGAAAAATTTAAAGAAATAAACATATTAACTTTGGCATCGCAATATATTTATGAAAATGTAATGTATGTACATAAAAACATAAATAGCTTTAATAAGAATAAGGATGTTCATACCTTAAACACTAGGAACAAACATAAGCTTGTAATGCCACTTACAAGACTCCACAGAATTAGTAATTTTGTTTATTTATGGGGCAATGTATACGCTTTTACAACAGAATCCCAGAACATGTTCAAAGTTTGTCAATAAACAAGTTTAAAAGTTTTATTAAAGAAAAACTATACAAAAAGGGTTATTATAATATCAAGGAATACATGAATGAAAATAACCCCTGGGAATAAGGTGATCGCCACCATGCTGGTTCTATGAAAATTCATTTAAAATTGTATAAAAAAATTATTGTTAAGTGAAATTATGTTTAAAAAAAAAGTCCCGCTGGGTTTCTTGCTGGTTCTTCCCAGGACAGAGGTATTTTCCGAACCAGTGGTAAATAAAATAATGACTTTCAATAAGTATTATGTAATAATCCATATTGAATAAAAATCATTCTATTCTATTCTATTCTATTCTAGAGGTAAAATATCCAGACAGGCAACAGACAGCAGGGTTAAAAATTTATAATTAAAAATTTGGTAATACTATCGTTAGTCTGCTAGCCTAATATGAAGATAAAACAATCCATACTTAAAATGGTAAAGGTCTATGTCCAGCAGTTGTCCTTTATGGGCTGATAATTAAAAAGAAAAAAAAAAGAATATGTGCAACAGCACATTAAAAAAATTCATAATAATGGTGATGGTTTTCTGACCGATTTGAACGATCATCCGACTCACTTTATGGTATGTGACTTCCGCGGCCTGAAAACCACTGTCACACCAGGGGAATTTCAGATGCATTGCTAGCCTTTTAGAAAGGAGTAATCGCTTTTCTTGAAGGCGCTTAAGTCTTAGTCTAAGTACTTAAGCGAAATGAGTCCACAAACATGTCGTCCGAGGAAGAATACTCCTACTAAAACGCACAGTGTTGGACCGCCAAGCATCCTGATGGTGTGGATGGTATCGTGAGTTTTATTGCAATGTGTTTTGATAAAATTTGGCAGCTGGATTTAAACTGAAGAATCCTCCGAACACTCCCCGTGGTAAATGTGATAGTAAATGGAAAGCGATGCAACCCATGAATCAAGCCGATCGGAAATAATTCGGTCGACGACAATTCGAGAAACGGGAGTCTTCCTGCGATAAATGCATTCAAGTGGAAGGGGCTAGCAATGAGTTGCCCCAGCCCAGAGATGAAAACAGAATTGCACGTGAGTATAGTATTCCACGTGAGTATAGTATTCCACGTGAGTATAGTATTCCACGTGAGACTGCGCCTTATAATGTTGCAACCGATTTGCCGGCATGAAAGTGATTTATCCTGCTCTTCATAGATGCCAATTTAGTCTTCTCTTCCAAGTGACCACAAAACTGCACGCTGAGGCATCAGCGTCGACATTTCGAATGAAAAGAGAATGTCATGAAATTGAAGAGATACGACAACGAAGTTAGTTTTAGCTCAAACGATTTAATCTATCCCCAATCAAAAAATTTATTTAACAACGGCTGTACGTAATCCCGAGAAATATAAGCAAACCTGGTGTAAAAAACATCACCACTGCTGTCGTCCACATGGCAAAGAATGCTTATATTGGCTTGCAATATGTCATTGTTAAGCAGAAGAAACAATTTAGGTGATACCACGCAGTCTTTTGGAACACCAGCATTAAGAGGCTTGTAATCGGAGCATACACTATCTACTACGACCGTAATGCTCCAATCTACCAGGAAATTGATGATTCAATAACACAATTTCTTGGGTAGCCAATAGAAGAGAAGCTTTGAAAAAAGCTATTTGTAAAGCAAAGCTGCTATTTTACGCTGGTATCCTGTGAGAGCGTGGTCCTTCCCCGGTCGAGCTGACCCATTCGTGCTACAACTGAACTATAAATATAGCTGCAGCTTGGCTCTACCACGTACTAAAGTTTTTCAAAGTGTTGATGTTTACATCCCGGGCCACTGAAGCGTCAGCCGAAACCCGGCAGCACGCTTATAGCGCGATGACACTTTATAGCAGAAACCAAACTATGCCTGGGATCTGCCTCGAATGAACACCAAAGAATATGAAATTAAAGGTTTTATTTCCTGAAGTATTATAACATCAGCGACAGAGTCAACATACATCCGCTACCATGTTAATTGGACTTGGACCTCCAGCCACCTGCACTTACAAGGCGAAATGCAGAAGTTAAAAAGCTTCTACTTCACACTGGTATTCTGTGAGGTCATGTTACCTCCCTGATTCGAGCCGGCTCATTCGTACGACATCAAAAGCTGACGCGTGGCTCTAACACTGTTAGTTTCGAAGATTATCAAATATTTTCAATTATGGAGCATCTATGGGCGTTTCAACAACAATTATTGTAGGTATTATAAATCCTAAAAAGCTGTATTTTATTCTTGGTTTACAGTCTTTTGATCTACATTAGTCTACATTACTAATGATGGGTGTCTACGTACCTCTGGGTCAATAGCTTGAAGTAAGTCATCGAAACTTTTAAACGATTGTTTGAAACAAAATTCTCTGTATTTAATATACGGCTGGAAACCAAAGTACCGGTTCTTCGCCAAATCGTCTGTTAAAAGGTCTGAAGCGCGTTGCTGTGGACCTAGACCCACTTCTGCGACCTGAAATTAAGATTTATTTAAAAAATGTTTCATTAATATTAGCAAGACTTAGTAAAAACATAAAATGAAAATAGTAGTTAGCGTTGTGATGAGCAATATTTATTATCTCTGCAATGTAAGACGAAGCCAATATCTTCCACAATTTTCTTTAACTTTAATATCCATAGTCTTCCGCATAAGAAAGGGAGTTAAAATGACAGTGTTCTTGATTATGAGTCAATTTAGGTTAGTACTACTCTCTTGTCTATTTCTTTTCAGTTCAAACATTGGTATTTTCTAATTTGAATGTTATAAGACACAGTATAATTACAGGCTATTAGACGTATAGTCCTCAGGGGCGTTATGGAGTCTGTTACTTTTTTAAAGTTTAAACCTTGTTGGAACGAAGGTCTTTTACGCGGCTTTCAGTACAGTGAACTGGCAGAAATAATCTTCACGTAAGGAAAAAAGGTTATTTCCCTTCTTGACGACCTTTCCTTCATTTTCTCTTTCTCTCTGTCTCTTTTTATTATAAACGATTGTTTGTGTGTGTGTATTTGTGCTAATATTCTAGATTTGAGCAGCAAGCATTATGTGTGGTCAGCTGTATAACCTCAATGCTAACACATATAAATATTATTTAAATTTATTTTTGTAATATTTTGAATCACACGGGATTTATATATTTTGTCATTACTGCAATTTTACAATGGATAGTCAAGAGACAGAAACTGCAGCAAGTGGAAATAATGCAAAACTATAAAAATAAGTTAATTAATCATAATATTAATTAATTCCAGTTCCGATGCTATCACGTGAAATAAGTATTTCAGTTACGCTCCCCTATTTATGCCTGGGAAAACTGCTCAATAACAAGTGAATACGACAAATTTCAGTGATCAAAGACTAAAAGTGAATAATAACAGAATAATAGCAGAGGAGATTAAAATAAAAATAAAAATAACTCAAATATTAACAAACATAATATAATTGTGTATAGCGATGACATGGGAAGAAATCTAGGCATAACTTTAAATAACTCTTTAAAGAGACAAAAAATTGAAAATAGCTGCACTCCTGGAGCATATTTTAGTGACATCCTAAATAAAATTATCATCATCATCATTACAGCCATTCATAAGTCCACTGCTGAACATAGGCCTCCCCCAAGGAATGCCACAAAGCACGGTCCTGAGCCACCTGCATCCATCGACTTCTTGCATGTCTTACCAGGTCGTTACTCCATCTCGTGGGGGGTTGCCCTACACCTCGCTTACACCTCGCCTACCGGTACGAGGCTGCCACTCAAGAACCTTTCTTCCCCATCAGTTGTCGGTTCTTCAAGCTATATGGCCGGCTCACTGCCACTTCAGCTTACTAATCCGTTTTGCTATGTCGGTTACCCTGGTTCTACTGTGGATATACTCATTTTTAAGTTTATCACGCAGAGAAACCTCGATCATAGCCCTCTCCATAGCTCGCTGAGCGACCTTGAGCTTCCTCATACGGCAGTGAAATAAAATTATATTAATATTTTATTATAATAATTTTGCCCAAATAGTAAAATAATACAGTGTAAACAACAAACAATAATTAAGATATATTGAACAACTTAATAGACTTATAATACTAATAATACTTAAATGTTCTCAAAATTTCACTTGACACACTCTTTTTTACACTGCCTTACGTGTAGGAATTGCCACGGGAAAATAAATATCATACAGAAGAATAATTTAATATGTAATTATAATTTAAATGATTAATTTTTATGTAAATATATTAAATAATTGTAATGATACTAATAACAAATTTCATTTAATTGACACAAATAATTAAAGTTTTGGGCAAAAGATAAGTATTACCTATCCAAATATAATTGTTTAGGCCCAAAAATGGGCATTTGAAATTTGCATGCAATAACACGCGCCAATAAAAAAAATCTAATAACTTGCTTGTGTGACGTGGAACCTTGCGCGCACGCCGAGTGGACAGACGGCCTGGAATTTGATGCCCGCATTCCATTTCGAGGGCGTGGCCCGGTTAATTGTTTTTGGAAGTTAATGTTGAATTGTAACGTCGCGTTAAGTGTCTTTTTGTGTGTTGACTATTTAGTTAGTTTTGCGTGTCAGCGAGGCTGATCTTGAGTACTAATTGCGTGCGTGGTATTTAAATATCGTACGAAAGAATTTTAGCTTATCGTGGGGAAAGCTGTACTTTGAGACTCGAGAAGAGGCCGCGTTCGTTCCCGTATTTGTAAATTTGTGCTACGTGAACCCGGAACCTTGAATATTGAACTTTGAACGACGGTTTGTTACTTGTGTCGTGTGTCACTTGTCTTAATTTCGAAGAACGTTCGCGAACGAGCGCTCAGCCACGTCCTCTGTCGGGCGACGCTCGGCGCTCGCCTGCCAGCCACCGTGCCCCTAGGTTTGAAAGGGGTCCCTCTCCCGACCAGTCGGGGAGTCGTTGCCCCAGGGGCGGGGGTGTCGTCGCCCCCCCTCAGCGTATAGATAGGAACTTTACGGTCACTCAGTAGTCAGCTAGACCCTTCTCACCCTCGTTAGCTGAGTGGCCGCGGCTGGGGTATTGCCGTCCCCCCTTTGATGGAGGCAGACCTAGCTAGCTGCCGCCCTAGCTCCCACCACGGCCGCCTCCTAATAATGCTTTAATTTAAAAATAAAAATGCTTTGGGTTTTCCGCTAAATGTTTCATAGTTGTAGCGGTTGTGAGTAAAAGGCGAATTTAATGTGCTCTTTGAATACGTGTACATATGTTTTTGTAAATATATTTGATCATTAGGTTTGCTTTGTTGAAAAGAAAATAGAAATTGAGTAACACTGTTTGTGCCGAAGGAAATAAAAATCAATCCTCTTTTGGTTTTCTCATTTTTGTTGGCATTGTCGAAGATATTTATTTGGAAAGAGAAATAGGGCTGTCTCTTATGTTTAGCGTTTTACTTAATTCGTCTGTTTTGATCTATGCGCATCGGGAAATTAATTTGTTGCAATTATTTTCAAGTTTTACATTGTGGTTTGAGTATTGATGGTTTGAGGCTTGGTTGAAGCATAAACATAGAACTGCCTGTTTGGAAAAGCTAGCTAGTTATGATATTATCAGATTGAAATCAGTAAATTTTTATATGGTATAGGGCTTGATTATGCCTACTTGCGTGAATAAAATCATACTAAGGCCTATCTGTGCGTTTTCGTGTGCCTCGCCACTAAGGACGTTCACTTGGAACTTGTAAGTGCCCTTAGCACTGAAGCCTTTGTGGCCATGCTGGGCCGCTTCGTATCACGTCGCGGTTGCGGACCTGATCCGGTCTGACTGCGGAACAAATTATAAGGGGCACGGATAGATATTTGAAAGAGGTCGTCGAATTTCTGTCCAGCAACAGGACTTATTTAGGTGCTGCGATGTCCAGTAAGGGCTTCCAGTGGAGGTTCGACCCTCCGGCTTGCCCACATTGGGGCAGTATTTTGAGGCGTTGGTTACGGTTGTCAGCTCCACCTAAATTAAATTAGTGAATGCGACAATAGAGGCAATCTTTAGCAATAATAAGAGATTAATTAATTAAGAATGCAGCCCACAAATAAATAATAAAAATTATTTACACCTGGTGTATCAAAATATACAATGCATGATGGGAAAAGAATTGGAAGTTGAATTTTTTTTAAATAGTAACAACATACATGTCCTTTGTATTACTGAACATTGGCTAAAAGATTATAATTTCATGTTTAATTTCAGAAATCACCAGGTGGTCAGTTCCTATAATAGACAAAAAGTTTACGTTGTGGGTGGCTCCTTAATATTAGCAGATACATCATTATTATATAAAGGATGTAAGGATATTGTGAGCCTCTCTGTTGAGCGAACTGTAGAAATGGCTTGTGTCGAGCTCAAGCACCTCATTGTTGTGTTTACAGACCCCCATGTGCTACTTATGACTATTTTGAAAGGATTGTGGAAGAAGTTTTGCTCAAACTTAGTAAACAGAACAAGTCTGTTGTAATATGAGGAAACTTTAACATCAATCTCCTTGAAACTTCTTCCATTAGTATTAAGTTTAGCTCTTTAATTAAATAGTATAATCTTGGTAATTTATTCTTAGAACCAAAACGTATTGCTGGGCCTAGTGCAAACTATATAGATAACATTTAACAGATGTTAAGCCCTCGCATAAACAAATTATTCAAAATTTAAGTTCATATCACTGTGGAAAGTTAGTATTATTGCCTTACATATACAAAAAAAAGAAAGTTGTGTTTGTTCCAATAAATGAACATCGCTTGGAGAGGTTTAGAAATAATATGATGAAAAGACTTCCATCACTTTCATTTAAAAATTCCGTGGCGCAGTGGCTTAGCAATGAGTTGTAGCGCTAGGGCCGCGAGCTCGAATCCCGCACGGAGCAAGGTATTTGTATAGCCTACAAATAATTGTTCCAGGTCTGGATATTTGTCCTCGTGCAATTTATGTTTGTAAACTGCCTCCACGATACAGGAGAAAATCCTAGTGTGGGGGTAACGTTTAAAAAATAAAATGTATTAAATTTACAACTACGAATGTTAAAAATCTGAATACCAATGTGTTTTAAAATGGGGAAGAACTGAGCCATGTTGAATCCTCTGTTTTTCTTGGCATCACTCAAGACGCAAAGCTTCAGTGGGGCTCCCATATATCCAAACTAGCGAGCAGACTAAGTTCTGCAGCCTATGCTGTAAAAAGATTAGAGATCTCACTAGTGGCGAGACAGCTAGATTAATTTATTTCAGTTATTTCCATAGCATTATGTGTTATGGAATTTTGCTACGGGGAAATGCGGCTGATTTAGAAACTATTTTTGTTTTACAGTAGAGGGCCATTAGATCTATTTACAACCTAAAACCGAGAGAGTCTCATAGAGATAAAAATATATTAAAGATATAAATATAATAACTTTGGCCTCTCAGAATATTTATGAAAATTTAACATAGTGAACACACATCACAAAACAAAGTTAGTTTTCGTAAAAAAAGTAATATACATTCTGTAAACACTATGAACAAGCACAAGCTAGTGATACCAGTATCTCGACTCTACAGAGTCAGTAATTCATTCTTGGAGCATTGTATACGCTATTACAACAAGGTCCCGGAAAGTGTACAGGCTCTCTCTATTACCAAGATTAAATGTTTTGCTAAGCTGAAACTGTAATACAGTTTCAGCTTAGCAAAACATTTAAACTTGGGTAGGGTTACTATAATATAAATGAAAACATGGTTGATAATAACCCTTGGGAATGAGGTGGTCGCTTCCAAGCAGTTTCTAAAATAAATTTTGTAAATATTTTGTACAACCATTAATGTAAAATTTACTTTAAAAAGAGTCTCGCTAAGTTTCTTGCTGGTTCTTCCCAGGACATAGGATTTTTTTTTGAACCAATAAGTAAAAAATGACTTTCAATAAAAATTACACATGTGATCTATATTGAATAAAAAAATAATCTATTCTATTGTATAGACTATATCCCTGCTTTAAGGCAAATCATAGAGAAATATGTCGAGTACCAACTCACATAATATATAGCATTAATTTGTTGATTGCTCAAAATTTAAACCTTGTAGGTTTAAAGTTTTAAGCGTTGTAGGTTGCAGGCGTTCATGGTCTGCAGTAGCGAATTACTTTGATTGTTTGTCAAATATTATACAATAAAATCTTAACTTATCGTGAGGTTTAGCTAATTTAGCTTTACTTCTAACTGTTGTAATGTATAAATATAAACATTGAGCAAAAACATTATGTTGTATGTATTATAAAATGAATGTTGCTTTGTTTACTTCTCATGCGTTCATAATATACGCTTCATCCGAATACTATGAAATGTGAGACGTGCCGGGCATAATTAGTATGCTTTGTATTTGAATAGTGGCTTATAAAAATGTTTTGTACTTACGTCAGGATCGACCATGTAGTCAGCCTTAGCCGTCGCTTGCCTAAAGTTTCCTTGCGTTACATAATCCATATTGTCATCCATACCGAAGAACCCAGTTCTTAGAGTCATGTTTACAATTGGAACTTTCTTCAGATAGTTGCCATTAGTGTCGTATAAACTAAAAAATATTGAGCCTGTTCAATCATTGCACCGAGGTGTGTTATGGCGGCTTAAGAGAGTTCATTGCCCCATTTCGCCTCATTGGTTTTGTAAGATACTGCAATGGGTTATGTCATTCATACAAGTCCTTACGCCTTTTGATAGAGGCAGTGTAAACGTTTGGTTTGCTCCAGGCGTAAAATACCCAGAGGGGGGACGGAAAGCAAACTTTAAATGCGAGATGCCTGTCGCTGCAATCATCAATTCGTATGTCAGGCGTGAAGAATAAGGCAAACACTCCTAAGAGAAGGAAAATCCGAACCAACAGTGAATTGTTACGGGCTGTTGTTGATGATGATTATGATACTTTATCGCTTCATAACAACGTAATGAAACAGTTCAAAAAGAAATCACTTTAGAAAATGTTTCATTAATACGATCAAGTGAACAATTTTTTATTTTTACGTGTAATGTTTACGACTACTAGAGACACGCTGAAAAAATTACGCTCTTACAGAATCATCATCATCATCATTCACAGCCCTTCACCAATCCACTGCAAAACATAGGCCTCCCACAAGGAATGCCTCAAAGCACGGTCCTCAGACATTTGCATCCATCGACTTCCTGCATGCCTTACCAGGCCGTCACTCCATCTAGTGGGAGGTCGACCTCACTTCGCCTACCGGTACGAGGCTGCCACTCAAGAACCTTTCTCTCCCATCGGTTGTCGGTTCTTTGAGCTATATGGCCCGCCCATTGCCACTTTAGCTTACTAATCCGTTGGACTATGTCGGTCACTCTGGTTGTACTGCGGATATCCTCATTTATAAGTTTATCACGCAGAGAAACTCCGAGCATAGCCCTCTCCATAGCTCGCTGAGAAACCTTGAGGGTCCTCATACGGCCAGCAGTGAAGTACTATGTCTCAGATCCATAAGTCATCACTGGCAACACGCACTGCTTGTACAATCTCGTTTTCAGGTTTTGTAGTATGCCTGACGAGAACATATGTCGTAGTTTCCCGAACTGAGTTGAATCCGTCGATTGAACTCTCGGTCGAAGTTGGACTTACCTAGTCAGACTATTTGTCCTTGGTAAACATACTTGTCAACAACTTCGAGCTTAGTACTCCCAACAACTACCGGCATAGGTGTATCATAGATATTAAATATGATTTTTGTTTTGTCCATGTTCATCTTAAGACCTATCCGTTGGGAGACACTATTGAGGTCATTGAGCATAGTGCTTAGGTCTTCCAGCGATTCTGCCGTATGGACTATATCATCGGAAAATCGAAGGTGAGTCATGTAGGCGCCATTGATGTTAATGCGGTATCCTTTCCAGTCCAGCATCTAAGCACTGCTGTGTTTTGTATAATGTATAACGCATGTAGTGTTGAGAACCGGCAACTCATTTTACTGGTAACGAGATTTCCATCATAGTCTTAAGGAGTGAGAAAGCATGTGTATTTTGATTCTTATTCGAAAATAGATGTAGTTGTATCTGGACCACATAACGTATTTATCATAGATTAGATTGTAAGCTTGTTTATCACTCATATTTCTATAAAATAAAATTTGCTTCTCTGTAAATCCAATCTTATAATTAGCAATATTACTTAGAACTTACTTCATATTTCCTTCCTGCGTTGTATGGAACCAACGAAGAACAAATGGGTATTCCAGCGATATTTGTGGAAAAAGATGTTCACTGTAGTGATCTCTGAATCCAGGCGTGGGTGATAAAACTCCATCTCTTAACAAATTTTCATGACCTAAAAAAACGAAGGTTAATAATAATAAATTAAACTCATTATACGCAGCGCAATTTGAATAAATAAGAAGAATATGAAAAATATTTAAAGTAATTTTACCAAAATAGGCAGGCAATAGTTCATAGAAAAATATTTGCGTAGCAATAGCAATATTTATATCACGAGCCGTGTAAAACAACTTGTCGTCGTTCCAGCAAGGATTGACCTTAGACAGTCCAGTGGCAATGAAATTATGAAGCCTCCAAAACCAAACGCTTAACAAATTGATTCCCGCTAAGCTGTTCATGCTGTCATCAGCTGAAACAAATTAATATTAAATTGAGGAAAATCAATCATACATAACGTAAGCGTAACTCACACTACAAATATTAAAATAGCCGTAAACGTGGTCGTAAAATATTTTTCAATTTGATGTTTTGATAATAATGATGTCCTCCAAACCGTATTTCAGTCACGGCAAATGTATAGATTATAAAGCACGAATGTTTATGCAAAAACAAGTGCAATCTCTATTCCCTCACTCTTCTAATTCAATGGGATGGAAATCCGACGTGACCGGAGAGAGATCATGCGTAAGACCCACCAACTTCCAGACTCCGCGTTGCTACTGGGAATTCCTTGACAGTTAAATCCAATAACTAATTTTTGGCTCTACACGGGATTCGAACACGGACCTCATGATTCATCATCATCATTACAGCCTTTCACAAGTCCACCGCTGAACATAGGCCTCCCCCAAGGATTGCCACAAAGCACGTTCCTGAGCCACCTTAATCCATCGACTTCCAGTATGTCCTACCAGGTTGTCACTCCATATAGTGGAGGGACGCCCTACACTTCGGCTGCTGGTATGAGGCTGCTACTCGAGATGCTTTTTTCACTATCGGTTGTCGGTTCCTCGAGGTATATGCCCATTGCCACTTCAGCGTACTAATCCGTTGGACTTTGTCGGTCACTCTAGTTCAACTGCGAATATCGTCGTTTCTAAGTTTATCACGCAGAGAAACCCCGGGCATAAAAAGTGAAGCAGTCTCAGATTCATAGGTCATTACTGGCATCACACGCTGGTGTGCAATCTTGGTTTCAAGTTTTGGGGTACGCCTAACGAGAAGATGTGTCTAAATTTCCCGAACGCTGCCCAGTCAAGTTGAATCCGTCTATTGATCTCTCGGTCAAAGTTGGACGTACCTAATTGGACTATTTGTTCCAGGTAAACATACTCGTCAACAACTTTGAGGTTAGTGCACCCAAAAACTAACGGCATAGGTGTGTCATGGACGATATACATGATCTTTGTTTTGTCCATATTATTCTTAAGACCTATCAATTGGGAGGCACTATTAAGGACATTGATCAAGGTGCTTATTAGATCCTCCAGCGATTCTGCCATAAGGACTATATCGTCGGTAAATCGTAGGTGAGTGATGTACTCGCCATTTATGTTAAACCGTATCCTTTCCAGTCCAGTAGCTTTCTCATAGTCCACATACGTAAGACAAAGTGGCAGATTGTACTCTTCGGTATTCTGTACAATTTGCCGAACGGTATGTATAATATGGTCTATGGTGCTAAAGCCTTTTCGGAAACCGGCTTGTTCGGGAGGCTGGAAGTCGTCAAGTATGCGCGCGAGACTATTTGTAATGACTCTCGAAAACAGCACGTAGACGCGGCTTAGAAGGGAAGTCAGTCTGTAGTTCTTCAAGACAGCGTTGTCGCTTTTCTTGAAGAATAAAGCCACTGCACTCCTGTTCCACACCTCCGGAGTAATACCACCATTGAAGACGAAGTTGGTTCTTTCTGGCAGACAGAACTTTGGCAAAGACTTTGGAGCCTTGTTTCCTTACGATCGCTTCTTCAATATGAGCTGTATTAAAATTGCGTAAGTCCCGCCGCATGTATTTGGATTTAGAAGATGTTTTCTTCCTCGCACAACTTCCTTGTGGAATAGTTTACCACAAGCGATTTTTCCGGACCGATACGACTTAGGGACCTTCAAGAAAAGAGCCTACTCCTTTTTAAAAGGCCGGCAACGCATCTGCAATTCCCCTGGTGTTGCGGTTGTTCATGGGCGGCGGTAGTCACTTACCATCAAGTAAGCCGCATGCTCGTTTGCCCCCTCTCCTATAAAAAAAAAAATTGGAGATCTGTCTATTCAGTTGCCTGTATGCTGTCAAATCTGCCGAAAACTGCAGCTTGATTTACCGTCTAACAGTCGTGAGATTAAGAGTGTAATCGGAGAGTTTTTGTGTTCTTCTGCGGCGGGTCTTGCAAAACTTAGCTCCAACCGCATAGACAGTTTCCACGAGCCTGTCATTCATATCGTCAACTGCATTGCAATCTTCTAGGTACTAAAAACGGTTTTGTATCTCGAGCTGAAAGGTTTCGGGGCTTTGGATTAGAGCACGAGGGGGACGGAGCGTTGACTTCATTAGACGTGACCTCTCCAACTTAACGTTTAGGTTTAGTGTGCTTCTCACTATTCGGTGATCGCTGCCGGTTTTCATACCTCGTGATCACTGAGATATCACATCACAACAGTAGTCGTCTGGTCATCATATTGAAGTCAATCTCATTTTTTGTCGAACCGTCGGGTCTCGACCAGGTCCACTTCCTGTGGAGTCGCTTTTGGAAGAAAGAGTTCATCATAAATAGTTCCTCATAAATAGTTCATCATAAAAAGTTCCTATTTCTCCATGAAGTCGGCCAGCTGGCCCCTTGGTTTCCGTTGCCCTATTCCAAATTTTCCTACCATCAGCTCACCGTTCTCTCTTGTGCCTAGTTTTGCGTTGAAGTTTCCACTGACACCATACACTGGGTTTGGAGGAATGCATGGCTCTAGATATATCCTCATACATTTCCTCCTCCTAATCATCGGGGTTTACCGAGTTTGGTGCTTAAAACTGTATGACCTTCATCAAATACCAATTGGTGATTCTAAGTATACGGTACGCAACCCTCAACGACACACTCTCAATCTTACAACGTTGTTAACGAGAAACTTGTAGACGATAAATCTGACACACCCCTGGGACAGATGGTCGCCCTCCCGGTGATAGAACAAGTTGCCAATTTCAAGGATTACCTTGCATTCACCTCCCTTCTGACCGTGGATAATCCTTAAATATTCCTGCGCAACTTATCTATCTCTTCTTCAATCTCCAGGATCTTCTCGTCAGTCCTCAGGGTGCGTTCGTTATATGTTGCCAGATCAAGTCGTCTTAGGTGGCAACAATACCTCCACCGGAGATTCTTAGCAACCCCTGCCCTGCCGTAGCCATGATCGCCACCGCAGCCCGGAATAGCGTGACCGCCAGGGACTGGAGGCCGTCTCTTCTTTACCTTATTTATGGGGGGTATATTGCCATAGTTCCCGCACTTGGCGAGCGGGTTTGCAACTGGAGTTTTTTAATTGTTATTTTGTCGTTATCAGGAAGATGCTGCTGCCCCTCTTCTGCCTCAGTTTCCCTCTTTTGCCTCTTACGACACCCACGGGAAGAAATGGGATGGTGGGTATTCTTACCCGCCACTACACGGAGGGGGGGGGGGGCTCATGAGCAATCTACAACTACTAGACCAACGAGTCTGATCATTCTTCATCAATGTCATGGCTTGAAAATATAATATTGTCGGGATGTTTGTATTGTCAATAAAATAAATTCGTTATTATTAAAAATAAATCAACACTATTGCATCGAATAGATTTGTGGGATCTGACATTAAAATTGAACACTTTGATAACACAACCATAATTTATTTTCATGAATAGGTGTGTAAATGTTTTTCTTACGTGTATTATGACATCGAGTTTCTTGCGGTTTTTGGTTCGATAAGCATACACCACCTCCTGTTTGTATACTAGGTGGCCACATTCTTCCCTTTTCCACTTCATATTTCAACAACCCACTTTGGAACAGGCGGCCTTTTTCCAATAATGATTTTAATTTATTGCCATATAATAGTGAAAGATCGAATGTCGGTGTTGCCGACATAATCTGTGACATTAAAAAAAATGTTTTTTCCATTTTAAGTTGTTAAATATTTACGTTGTAAATAAAATAAATAAGTATAATGTTGTAATATTTTTTCAACGGCTTAAAGCCAAACTGGAGCAGGATGGGTCGACTGAACAGAGAGAGGACCACACTCTCACAAAATACCAGAATCAAGTAACAGCTTAATGCTGCTGTATTTCGTATGTTGCGCGTAAGGAACTGGAGACCCTTTTTACTACTAAAGAGATGTTCCATCTTAGTACTCAGGGGTGCATCTAAATTTATATTCTTGTTTAAGCATAGATGTTGTTGCCTTTGTCATAGCATTTAATAACCATCAAGTAAGCTATGTGCTAATTTGTCATCGTTATTCTAGAATTAATATGAATATAGATAGAATTTTATTCTATCTATATTTTTTCTATTTAAAAATTTTCTATTTAAAAAAAATAGTTTTTATTTAAATTAAATATTAAATTCTACTGTATTTTTTTTCAACTTGTACAGACATGCTTTTTTAAATATAAAGTAAAAAGTTACAGCCTATCTACATCATTAGCCTCCTCATATTTATAAGAAGGTTACAAAGTAATTTATCTCACTGTTTCAGTACGTATAGTAGTGGACTTCACATGTCTTCGATATGTTTTTATACCTGAGATATGTAGGTTTCATCACGATGTTACCTTTACTTTTTTTAGGTAAGAGAAGGCAAACTAGCATACGGATCATCGGATGGCAGGATGGTAAGTAATCATCCATAAAAAAGTTAATTCTTTGTTACAATTTCTAGGGAAATTTATTCACGAGTATTTTTGGGAAATAGAAGGTAAAGTTTAATTAAAATCACAACGAACTAATCGAAACGCTCTATCAAAAGTTCACTGCTGAACACAAGCCTTCCCGATAGATTGCCTCATAGAGGAATATTTGCCACGCTTGGCTGTCACGTTGACAACCGCAGTTTTTTTGTACTTGTTATTAGGAAAACCTTGCTTCGCATCTCCTGGTTTGTTTCCGTCGTTCACCCATGACTCAGTTTACAGTAGATTATACTCAACAGTGGACTTTTTATTGGCTGTGGTGATGATGAAGATAAAAATAACAAGCGAATTAACAGTCTAACGGATAGTGACTACCGTAGTTCTGTTGCCACCTTTGGTAACGTAAATATAAATGTGTACGTACAGTTGCCAGATGACATAAAATAGGAGAGCGTGATATTTTGCCAGACAGTGAAAAAACACACTGATATTCAAATAGCAAAGTTACTTACCCTTTCAGGAACTGTGTCATTTCTGACGCAACCAATGGATTGAAAACTTTCAGGTCTGGTCATGTTCAGACACCTTATGTTGGAGAAGCGATGAACTGGATCATCGTCGGGTATTTTGTTTGGAACGCAATCTCTATCCGTCTTGCCTTTTGGTTGGCAGCAGTACGGCTTCCAGAGGACATACTTAACTAAACGATTTACCAGATATCATGTTCAATAAACAATTATACTCATTGATTATTATAAATCATGGTAGTTTTTAAAAGTAATTGTTTTATTTTTTTGTGTAGTTTTCAATATCAGTAAAAATAAATGTTTTGGGATTAGGGTTGAAAATTTAACATTAATATAAAAATATATACTTTTTTTACAAACTTATCGTAATTTGAAACGGACTTTAATATGCTAAAAAAGCAAAATAAGGCTGTCGTAATCAAAACATTAGCAATAAAAGTTTTATAATTTATTTGTATCTAAAAATTTTGATGCTAACAATATACAGGATTTCCATCTGGTGGTAGCGTAAGTGTATCGTTGAAGGTGATAATGGCATAAGATTCGTGGTAGTGACATTCAATCTCGCTTCTATCAGGTATAAATACCCAGACCGTAGAAGAGGAGTAGCATCAAAGTTGCGTAAAATCTGGTGTTACGATCGCTAAATAAATGATTGAGTGTGGTGATTGCTGCAAATATTATCAACAATGTGAGTATCTTATGCCTAAATATATTACACTAGACATATCATGAATAGAATTGGCGTTATTTTGTGGAAATTTATTATATTAAACATGTTACAATAAATAACAAAAATTAATGCAGTGAGTCGTAAAACAGCATATGCTTCACTCCGGAGGCTTAACTACTTTTAACCTATTGCCACCAAAATTTCGCTTGCACAAAAGATTGTGTAAAGTACTAAATTTGCAGTAAAACTACTTCATATCCTCGGCTATGCTGACATTTGTTACCTTGATATCAGCGAGGAGCCACTTAACAAACTTGAGCGACTCCAAAATCTCTGTATACGGTTCATATTTGGGCTTCGTAAATATGACCATGCCTCAGAATGCCGCACTAAGCTCAAGTGGCACCCAATCCGTCTTCATCGGAATACTCATATACTTTTTACTTTCTACTGCGTCTTATTTAATATATCAAGTAATTTCTATCAAAGAGAACGTTTTAAATTTCTCAGCTCCTGTCATAATTTTTCCTAACGATCCAAAGAAAACCTTTCCCTCCAATGTACTGCGCACTCCTCGACTTATCATGATAAACCATTTTCTGTTCTTGGAGTAAGACTTTGGAACTCCTTACCCCAGTCAATTAAAAGTCCTCGATCCTTAAAAGTGTTCTAGAAACAGGTTAAGGAATACTATTTGTCTCCCTAACCCCTCTCCCTTCCTCTGCTTAATTATGGTCTACCTCTCTACCAGAAGAATGTTGTCTTTTTAATTCATTAGTTTGTATTTTTATTTTATATTTTTTGTTGGTTTTTTTTTTTATTTCAGTGCACCACCCATTGTTCATTTCCTTATTTTTATTTAGTTCTTCTTCTGGGTTGTCTGGAAGAGATTGGTTTGTAGCAATATGACCAGCCTTTGTATTTCCCTAAATAGTTGTTTATTTTTTCTTTTTGATATTTTTATCTTTTCTTGGTGTACGATAAAGAGTATTGTATTGTATTGTACAACGAGGCATAATGAGGAGAACTTTCTCCTGATAAAGCCTTATTTTAGAGAAGAGACACATATTGTACTCGTATTATCGACAGTGCAGTGGTGTGTCTTTCAATATGTAAGTAGTGGTATTGGAAATAGTGTTGATGGAGATAGTGCATGCAATTGAGGAAGGGCGTTAGGTGTTCTTCAAATTAGATAAGAAAGAAACATCATTCTTATTTTTAAGCGAATCTTAGCTTATTATCTTTAACATATTTAACATTATAAATGAACAAATCACCTGTGTCGTGCAGAGAAAGCACGTCTCCCGCCATAAAAACAAGAAAGTTGGTTGCAAGCGTTGTAAACTGCCGATCAGCCAATCTACCCTCAGCCAGTAGACTTGTCCTCAAAAACCTTGCCGATGGCAATGAGTGACCGGACTTTGACAATCTCGGCTCGAAATCTGCACAGAAATATTCATAGTTTATCATCATGAAATTTCACAAGTAAGTGATAATAGTCAAATATCATATGTAAAATTTTGTTTTGAAAACAAGATTATACAGTCGATCTGAGACGTGGTCCTTCACAGCTGGAATCCAAAAGAGGAAGCTCAAGGTCACTCAGCAAGCTATAGAGATGGCTATACTCGGAGTTTTCCTGTGTGATAGACATAAAAATGAGGATATCCGTAATAGAACCAGAGTAATGATTAAGTAAGCTGAAGTGGCAATTAGTCGGCCATATAACTGACAATCGATGGGGAAGAAAGGTTCTCGAGTGGCGGCCTCATACTGGCAGGTGAAGTGTACGGCGTCCCCCACTAGATCGAGTGACGACCAGGTAAGACATGCAGGAAGTCGATGGATGCAGGTGGCTCAGGACCGTACTTTGTGGCTTTCCTTGGGGGAGGCCTATGTTCAGCAGTGGGCTTGAGAAGGATTGTAATGAAAAAACAAATAAAATTTCTATATTATATTATATTTAATGAAAATATAGTCCATATTTTCACCTTCTTTCATTGTACTGTAAATAAATTAATAGCAAAAACATTTTTAAAAACAAACTTTTCTTTAGATGCTCTAAAAAGAAAAAAATAAACTTCAAATCAAATCAAACCCATCAATTTATTACATTACATCATTTATATGGCCTTATTTTCTACCGACTTCAAAAAAGAGACGATACTCAATTGGACTGTATTTTTTATTTATAGGATCGAGTGACGAACGAGCACACAGTCCACCTGATGGTAAGTGGTTGCTGTGGCCCATAGATGAATGCCTCTTTTCCAGTAAAAAGGGTCTCCGGTTCTCTACACTCACCATACGAAACACAGCAATGTTAAGCTGCTATTTTACGCTGGTATTCTGTGAGAGCGTGGTCCTTCCCCGGTCGAGCCGACCCACTCGTGCTACAACTATATTACTAATATAGCTGCAGCATTATTTATAGTTATTTTCTATGCACTACCATGATATGGGTATCAAATGAAAGCGTTTGCTGAGATAAATAGGAAAGATAAAATGATGCCACTTTAAATCTAATGTGGCAGACTGCCCAAGATGCTGGATTAGTATTTTTTATGTACTCCTATGACAGGGATATCAAATGAAAATTTTACTGAAAAGAATATAAAAATAAAATGACGTCACTCTAAATCTAAGATGTTGGACTTCCAAAGATAGACATTTTTTATTCATCCCATGTTATATATATCAAATAAAAAGTGTTTACTGAGAAGAATACGAATAAAATGACGTCTTTGAGAAGATGGTGTACGACTGACCAACTAAACGGCAATACTTAGCAAAATTTCCTTGGAAAATTCTAACGGTGGTAAAAGAAATGAAAAAAAGAAGATGACCGCCATACCCATTTTAAAGATGTTATAACTTTGCAAAGTTTAGGGATAGTTTCGTGGTGCTCAAGCAAATGTTGTATCGACCGACAAGGGCCAACTGCTGGCGATAAAAATGTTTCAACAAGGCAAGTCTAAGATGGCGACCATAAACCAATGTTGGTCACACATTAAAAGAAATGAACAGACTTCGAAAAATGTCCAGCGAGGACTAAAAAAAATATTAATAGTAAAAAAATATTTTTAAAAACAAGCTTTTCTTTAAAAGATTTAAAAAGAGGAAAATAAATTTTAATTTAAATCAAACCCGTCATTTTATTACATTTAACATGATTGATATGATATAAAAACTTGTCATGAGATTAACTCGTGTACATTAACAATATGTAACTTGACAATGACATACTCGTAGTAGGTAATTGCAAGAAAAAAATAATGTGGTTTATCTTCTATAATATAAAAATGAATCGCTGAATGTGTTGCTAAGCGCAAATCTCGAGAGCAGCTCAACCGATTTCGCTAATTCTTATTTTATAATATTCCTTGAAGTACGAATATGGTTCTTACGGAGAGAAAAATTTAAAAAATTGCCTGAAAAAGTCTAAAACAACACTTTTCTATATTCCCATACAAAAGATTCGTAATAATACTTAAAAGTCAATTTGAACTTTAATACCATACCATAAACTTTAAGTGTTAGTGGAGGGGTTCCGGGAAGGCAAAACAATTGAGTTACGTTAGTATCGTATAAATATTAATGTCAATGTCAAAAATGACACCCATGATGAAAAAATTGGTAGGTACCTATTCAGCCGCCATCTTGGATTTATATTTCGACAATATCGGCTTCAACACCCTAGAAATCCATGAAAATGATACCCATGATGAAAAATGTATACCTATTGCAGCCGCCATCTTGGATTTACATTTCGACAGCAAAATCGGCTTCAACACCCTCGAAAATTATGAAAATTACACCCAAGATGAAAAAATTGATGTCTATTGCAGCTGCCATCTTGGATTTACATTTCGACAGCACTATCGGTTTCAACACCCTCGAAAACCATGAAAATTTCACCCATGACAAAAAAATTGATACTACTTTCTTTTAGTACGTACTACTATTATTTATTCTATGCTTTTAAAATATTGTAATAAAAATCTCTTATTATTATTATAATCAAGTATTTAAGAAATTTGGTTTTTCGAATATTGTGTATTTATACAGCGATCTTTTTGAGCCGCTGCAAACCAACCGAAGCAATGTCCACTCACGACGGTGATTGACGCCGAACTGAGTTAGTGAGTAAACTACTTTGTGGCTGTAGCTGCCCCATTTACAGAAATAATTTACATACAAGGCTACCAAATCAACGAAAATTTCGCCATTTTGGAGACGAAAAAAAATAATTATAGCTAAACAAAACAAAATTACACTGCCATTAACATTCAGTGGCTTCCCACATGATAGATGAAGAGATTAAAAAATAGATTGAGTTAAACAATTGATATTTTCAAACGTTATCATGTTTACAAGCCTTGGGGACATGATAAATCCACACCATAAGCCACTAAAACCCCTTTTTTTATTTCAAAATAGCAATTAATCGATTTAAAAAAATATTAATAAATTCAACAATCATTTATCTTTCTAACAATGTGCTTTTTATATCATTTATATGTATAATATGATTGCTAGGTACGATTTTATTCGATAAAACGTTGGAATCTTAATTTTTAGACGATAGTAGAACATACCTAGCTTTATACGCTTTCGCTTAAAGCATGCAATAAAGTTGTAAAAAATGTAATGATTATAATTTTCGGCGATTGTTGTTTAAATTCAAAGTTAATTTATGTAAATATTTTAGAATTGAATAAAACTATTTTTACGGATTCTATCGCGTTTAATTAACTTATTTTATATTCCCGACGTTTCGGTTGCTTTCCAGCAACCGTGGTCACGGGGGACTGAGTTGATTGACGTCCCGATGTCAGTGTTAAACCGGAGTACCTTCAGCTTTTTTTAATTAATAATTTTGGTAAAAAGCAACCGAAACGTCGGGAATATAAAATAAGTTAATTAAACGCGATAGAATCCGTAAAAATAGTTTTATTCAATATGTAGTGTTCGCGTAAATATAAGAAATCATTATATTTTATAATTTTATTGCGACCTTGCTAGTGTTACCTTATGAGTAATGTTAATATTATCATTATTTTACGCTTGCATATTATTAATGTCTTTAGATATTGTAGTTTCATCTCATATTTTATCTCGCTGTAATTTCATAGTACGCAAGCTACCCGGGTTCTATCCCCGTCGTTTAAGTGCTGATTTACCATGTGCTCGGTGGTGAAGGAAAACCTCGAAAAGTAAACCTGCATATTTGAGAAATTATATAAATATATTGAAAGAAAATATGTGTATTCCGCTAACATACATTGGGGCAGTGCAGTAAACACTTCCTTAAAATTTTAAGAGGCCTGTACCCAGCTGTGATAAGTATATAAGGCTGTAACTTTTTATTACTTTACTTTACATAATATTATTTAATTTGTCGTTAACCAACTTTATTTCATGTACATAAGAAGTTTGATATAAATAAGAAGGATACAGACTACAAATTCAACTAAGTAATAAATTAGAGTAGTCATTTTAAAATTTGTATAAAAAAAGGAATGAGGAGCTGTGGCTTGATGTGAGCCATCATCATTACAGCCCTTCACAAGTCCACTGCTGAACATAGGCCTCCCCCAAAAAATGCCACAAAGCACGGTCCTGAGCCACCTGCATCCATCGACTTCCTGCATGTCTTACCAGGTCGTCACTCCATCTCATGGGGGGACGCCCTACACTTCGCCTACCGGTACGAGGCCGCCACTCGAGAACCCACTGCCACTTCAGCTTACTAATCCGTTGGGCTATGTCGGTCACTCTGGTTCTACTGCGGATATCCTCATTCCTAAGTTTATCACGCAGAGAAACTCCGAGCATAGCCCTCTCCATAGCTCGCTGAGCGACCTTGAGCTTCCTCATACGGGCAGCAGTGAAGGACCACGTCTCAGTTCCGTAAGTCATCACTGGTTGTACAATTTGGTTTTAAGGTTTTGAGGTATGTCTGACGAGGAAATGTGTCGTAGCTTCCCGAACGCTGCCCAGCCGAGTTGAATGCGTCGATTGACGTGAGCACTATTCTTAAATTAGGTAGTACGTACTTCATTCATCGCATAATTACTTCTTCTAGCGTAGGCAGTCAGCTGTGAGAACTCCGTTATATTCTTCGCGAGGCGAAACAGTTTTGGTCGACTCGTTGCAGAACTTCCATATTCGTAACTTTGTGAGTCCAGCCAATGGCCAACATACTTCTGTCCCACATCTCGTAAACGTTTATATGTTTTAATTTTGCTAAATGTACTTCCAGCCACTTCAATTCGGGTCGTAATTACCTGGTTACTGCTCCACGTCTCGTTTAATCACGTAACTAAATATTAATATTTGCGCCCTCTTTCTATTTTTTGGCCTGCTACTGTGATGTTAAAGTCGTCAATACTATTCTTAGAAATGACCATGAGCTTCGTCTTCAAAATGTTGATCCTAGGACCAGCTCTTTCACTGCACTCATTTACTCGGGTGACAATTCTCTGTATATCTTCAGCAGATAATTCTATGAGGACTCTATCGTGTGCATATCTAATATTATTTATGTTCTGCCAATTTCTTTTGACTCCACAGTCTAGGTCTTGGACTGCTTGTAAATAAAATAGCATAGGTGACAAAATGCTGTCCCGTTGGGCTTCCCTTTTAATTTCAATATCCGCCACCTTTTCATTATCAAACCGAACAGTAGCTCCTTGATTCCAATACAGAATCTAGATGATATGTATATCCTTACATTGTGACGGCGTATTATTATTGTTAATAAATAATGATTAAATTCTATATAAATTAATTTAAAAATATCATAGATATAATATTTTGAACAAATAAAATGCATAAATAAAAGCATAAAGTTAAAATGCATTTATTTCGAACATTGAGTATTAAAGGCTTAGTATTGTCATTGTCTTTAAAAATTCATTAAATTTATTATAACTCTACTTAAAATATGTATTCAAAATGTTTTAAATAATAAAAATACAAGTCGATTCATATTATAATTGGGTGATTGGTCAAAAAAGTTTTATGTGGAAGGTCATTACATCAAAGCATTATATTGACGGAATTGGGACTTGAATCCGTATTATAGTGGCGTATAGACTGTTTCACAGTATCCGAGACCAAGGTAAACTCCGACTCGCTAACCGACATGTCCCAGGCATATTATCTTAGTGCTGGTGGTAAGCGGGTTTGTTGTTGCAATACGACTTGCCCGTGGACATCGTTCAACCCTACCGATTGTGGGCAGCGTTTAGCACATAGCTTTATGATATACTTCGGCTATCTTTCGAATTAGGGAGGGTGTGTGTGGTAGCACTTTTAACTCAAATACTCAATTCTAGGTTTTAGTGCAATATCTCTATAAAACATGGATTTTTGTTTACTGGCGTCTTAGTAGCGTGCTACTATCATCGCTTGGGATCATGTGAGTGTGATGTGAGTGGGCACCGTCCGTATGATAGTAGCACTAATGCTTACTGCTACTTGCGGTATTGCATCTTTTGATGGATCCCCGAGTATGCTGCGCCTGATTCGACTCCTTTTGTGGTACTAATCGATGGAGGTACACGGGCGGTGATGTCTGCTGGGATCGAATGGGGGACCTTGAGATGGTGTACTTGGAAGAATAAATACTCTAGTGACTATTTATTCTTCCAAGACACACCTAAAACAACTATGTTACTAAACAAACACAACGTAAATAAGGGTCCTAACTGAGACGATTACGCCATAAATATGACAAACTGTCAAACCATAATAAAAAATAATCCCTTTAGTAAAGATCAATATTATACTCGTATATTTGTTTATCTGAGTCAATTAAATTTTATATAATTATATACGGTCACTACTTTAAAGAAGGGGCGGCGTGTTACACCATCTAAGCAAAATAGTGCACTAATGCGGTCATGCAACACTCGATTTCAACAGCTTTTTCGTAATTACTAAACAAATAAAAACATCCTGCAGCATATCTAAACATTTTTGCAACGTAAATTTAACGCAAATAGAGCCTAGAGAGGCTTTATATTAATACACAAGAGAGGGCCAAATCCTGATCCAAATCCGAACTGGCTATCTGCGAGTTGTTCCTTACATTTGGCTCTTATTCGTTCACAACTGGAGCATACTTATAACTTAAAATAAAATGACAGTGTAAAATGAAATGAAAAATTAACAATTAACTAAGATATTGAAAATACGTTAGCGAACGTCGACAATAAAAAAATTCCAGGGATTATCATTTTGATTATTTACATTAAAGACTAGCTGTTCCCAGCGACTTCGCCCGCATGGAGTTATTTTTCGCGGAACCCTAAAATAAAAGCAGCCCAAGTCACAGCAATTGTTTTGCCTTCCCGGAACCTCTCCACTAACACTTAAACTTTATGGTATGGTATTAAAGTTCAAATTGACTTTTAAGTATTATTACGAATCTTTTGTGTGGGAATATAGAAAAGTGTTGTTTTTAGACTTTTTCGGACAATTTTTTAAATTTTTCTCTCCGTAAGAACCATCTTCAAACTTCAAGGAATATTATAAAAAAAGAATTCGCGAAATCGGTTCAGCTGCTCTCGAGATTTGCGCTTAGTAACACATTCAGTGATTCATTTTTATATTATAGATTATGAATAACGCACAGTTTGCTTTTACGAAAAAAAAAAATCACTACGAATAACAGATATCCAGATAACACAGATACACTGAGTTTTTTTTTTTCTTGTAAGTAAGTATAAATAAATTTGCGACTGCCTCGGTGGCCTAGTGGTCGTAGGCGCGACTGTTGATCATAAGGTTCCGAGTCCATGTTCCTGTTATACTGATAGTTTTAACAGTTCCACAGTATTTGGAATTAGTTCAAGAAATCAAAATAAATCGACTATACGTGGTAGAGCCATTCTGCAGCTACGTTATAGTTGTAGCATGAATGGTTCGGCTTGACCGGGGTAGGACCACGCTCTCACATAATACCAGCGTAAAATAGCAGCATAACACCACACTACTGTGTTTCGTATGGTAAGAGTAGAGAACCGGAGACCCTTTTTACTGGAAACAAGGCATTCCATCTCAGTCCACAGGGGTGACAACGCATCTGCATTTTGATTCTTAATTAAAGATAATTGTAGATGTCTATGGACCCCAGCATACACTTACCATCAGGTGGACTGTAGGCTCCGTTTATCATCCTTATTCTATAAAAAAATTACCGTAACCTTATTAAGCAAAGGTTCTATGTTTCCACTCCCTACTAACGCTTTTGAAATTCTCCTTTTACCTTTTTACTATTCAAAATAAAAAATATTTCACACTAATAGATGCTGTCTCGAAATTTGCTCAAGCATTTTTTTTATAGGATAAGGGTGACAAACGAGCACACAGTCCACCTGATGGTAAGTGGTTACTGTGGCCCATAGACATCTACATCTATCTTCGATTAAGAATCAAAATGCAGATGCGTTGTCACCCGTGAGGACTAAGATGGAATGCCTCGTTTCCAGTAAAAGGGTCTCCGGTTCTCTACACTCACCATACGAAACAAAGCAGCGTTAAGCTGCTATTTCTCGCTGGTATTCTGTGAGAGCGTGGTCCTTCTCCGGTCGAGCCGACCCATTCGTGCTACAACCATAGTATAGCTGCAGCATGGCTCTACTACGTATAGAAAGAAGCATTCAAGCTTTCTTGAAGTATTGTTTCACCAGTTTATTACTGGCCATGGCGTTCAGCCTTTTGGCATAGTTACTGACCAGGGAATGGAATTTACAAACCACATATTTTCAGAATTTACTACACTTCACAAAATTCATCACCGAATAAATCTCACCCACACACCAAATGACAACGGAATGGTACAACGTTTACATTCGCGTACTTTCGAACACTTAAGGATTTTAAAGCTTGAGAAGCAGCGCGAAACTGTAATTAATCTTAGGCTATATGCTGTATTAGCTTAAACAGTTTTATTTAGTTTTATTCATAGTTTTACAAAATGAAGGTCTTTGGATTTAATTACAGGACACTTCGATTTGCGTGACCCAGTAGGTTTATTACGTATTATATAATAATTTATTACGTCCTCTTCAGCAATACCCACTTGATAAAGGGACTTATTTGATTTGACAGACTTGGATAAATAGTCAAGAGTACGTATAGCCAAAAATCTCGATTATATTGATGGTAAGAAATACGACTATGTTTTCAATTTTTTATGATAACAAACAAAAATAGAATTAGAATTTAACAATCATGAAAATAATGGCGTTACTTTGCGGAAATAAATTACATTAAGGACATTATAAAAAGACTCCAAAAAAGGACGCCATGGTTTTTCTTTTTGGAGAACCGGAGACCCTTTTTAATGGAAACGAGGCATTCCATCTTAGTTCTCACAGGTGACAATTCATCTGCATTTTGATTTGTAATAGAGGATAGCTGCAAAAGTCTATGGGCTACAGCACCACTTACCATCAGGTGGACTGTGTGCTCGTTTGTCGCCTTTATCACATAAATCAGCAATCATTAATTCTATAACTTACTTTTATCGTAGACAGCGGGTAACACTCTGTAAGTCGGCGTGTGGGATGCACCTCTTGTAATATATCGCAAGTTGCTACACGACCCATCTACTCGTCTTCCTTCTTCTGGATCGCAAGGCTCTATTTGATTTGTGCACCAACTGAAAGTTGCCTTATTTTTATGGCTGTCTCTTCATTAAATTGTTAAGTATTTTTTTTATTCTTGAACGGTTCAATTCCAAAACGGAGCTATTCTGGTATAAATTTACTTTTGTGGAAATCTTACTGGGTTAAGCTTTCAATTATTATTATTTCAAAGCAGAATATAGGCCTCTGAAATGCAGAAGTTCGCCTCATAGGGCAGTGGAAGGGGGGATTGCTACGCTTAGCAGGCGGGTTGGGACCTCAGTTTATATTATTATTACTGAGTTGTCATCAGGAAGAGATCCTGTCCTCCAAAGGATGACTTGTGCTAGTGGATTTTCTTAATTCGCCGCTACACGGCTCTTATTTCTCAATTTGAATTTTATTAACTTTTATTTTGTAGTTGTTTAGTTCCATTTAAAATTAAATCAGAATAATGTAATATGACAGAAAATAAAATATAAGAAATGTTTTACAATTAATAAAGTGATTTAAATTATTGAATAATCTAAAAGTAAAATAAAAAAAAATGATATGGGAACAAAGGATTCAAATTTTTCTTTCATTGCCAACCTTAATTTCCAACCGGCACCAATCATATGGCATATTTTTATTTTAGGCCATTTGTTGGCTCTGTGACGCAGTGTCTTAGCAATAAGTTGCAGTGCCAAAGGTTGTATAGCCTACAAGTAATTATTTCGAGTCTAGATTTTTGGCTTGTGAAATACATATATTACTTACAAGAGAAATCAAAGTGTAGAGGTAACTTTTTTTAAAGAAATAAACAAAACGGTACTGATTTAACACGTAGTAAAGCCATGCTGCAGCTATATTTCTGGTATAGTTGTAATACGAATGGGTCGGCTCGACCGGTGCAGGACCACGCTCTCACAGAATACTAGCGTAAAATACAGCTTAATGCTGCTGTGTTTCCTATGATGAGTATAGAGAACCGGAGACCCTTTTTACTGGAAACCTAGGCAGTCCTCACGGGTGACAACGCATCTGCATTTTCATTCGTAATCGAGGATAAATGTAGATATCTATGGGCCACAGCAACCAATTACCGTCAGGTGAACTGTGTGCTCGTTTATCACCCTTATCCTATAAAAAAAATTTGACACGTGTTCGACGATGAAGGAAAACATGTTGAGGAAATCCACATGTCATAAAAATATTTCATGCTGTAAACAGGCGAAAATATAATGTTACTATTCTTTACTTTTTCCTACGTATTACTATTAATCTACGAAAAATACGAATGAAAGCGCGCAGTTTAATTAAATAATATAATCATGGATGATTTTTACCAAGATTGTAAGATAATTGGAGAGTATTAGATTATATAAACCACACGGTGTATAAAAAAATAATTGATGACTGTATAATATACAGTATAGGTACAAGTACAGGTTATAATCGAAAAAAAATGCAAATACTTACAACGTAATGTTCATTTCGTCCCGTCTTTTCACCTCCTCCAGGCTTATTGGAATTCCCGTAAATGAGTCATAATTAATCATGAGTTTGGCATTAGCAACAGTTACGAGTAAAAAATATAATAATAACAACATATCGTCCAGAAATCTAATAACTAATTTTATTTAAATATGAATTTTAAAACAAATTTAATATAAATTAATAAATATTGAGATGTTATCACAATGAGAGACGAAAATGAAATATGGTTGCGTTAGCAACTTTAAATAATATAACGGAATGTCTTTATATTTATATTTGCCAATTTTAGACGGGTTTTTTTCATTCACAAAACATTTTAAAATCCTTTACTTTGATAGCATCTAAATTGCGAAGGCCGGAGGATGCAAAATGTGCATAACTTTATTTACAGGTTGGGCCATAAGTTTTTACAGTTTTAAATTACATTATATTCAAATAAATGATTATTTAAAATAAAGAATATAAAAAAAAATATTTCTTAAAAATAATATTGTCCAGGTTTTCGGGCCGCCATCTTGCCGCTCGCATTCCCGAAACCTGGCCGTTAGATTTTTAGAAACTCTTCAACACAGAGTACTGAATACGTTCCCATTTCTTGACGAATATAAGCCTAGAATTAGGGTATTATTATTGTTTTCTTCAGGTAGACTCGAATTATAAGATCTGCAAGAAATCTGCTGGAGTAAGGTCTGTGCTGCGAGGAGGCTATGAAATGCGAATACCTGCGTGAGATCAGTTTGTTGGGGAACAGTTCTTTAATTACGGGTAAACTTCCGTTGGATGTATGTCCTACTGCTGTAACTATGGTTAAAAAAATCTCAAGGCATTTTTACATATTCTGCAGAGTTAAGAGAATAACCGCGTGCATTTTTAAAGAAGTAGGTACAGGCCAATTATGCCCTTTGAATACATTCCAGCTCAAAGCGTCACTTTTGGAGAATGCAAAGGTCTTAGATGCAAAGGTCTTTTTCTATTCTTTACTACTTGACATGCCCATTTAAGTGAAAATGAGCTTCGTCGGAAAAAATTCTTTTTTATTGAATTTGCTAAACCGCTTGAACCTTTTCTTTAAATTCTTTGACCAATTGTATTTAAAAAGAATGCAGCTTAAACTCAGATTAAAATATTCGACGTAAAGTCGTTCGAGGTCTTCTAAACACTTGCGCCACGATCTCTTTGCTCCTCCTTCTCCGTGGCTGCCCTGTTTGATTATTATTGACAGTCGATCCGGTTGCCTCGAAGTTGACCTCGAAAACATGATTTAATTAAAATATTACTTGAGCACTGACTAATATCGTGTGAAGCGATGCATTGTGACTAAATTTACAAGAAGTGAAAAATTGCGCATGAATGGTTCCGACCACTCCCCGCGCGCGGTATCTACGCTAGATTGATTACAAAAGTGCAACAATGTATGGCCCACATTGTACAAAAAATGTTTAATATTACAAATAAAAAATTAAAATTATAGTCCACTATGAATCGCTGGGTGCAATGCATTTCCATAACTTGGCGTTACGTGCCTGATCATTTCTACGTAAAACGACGAGTGTGGGAACGCTAGCAGATTCTTTTTTTTATATATAATAAGGGTGACAAACGAGCACAAAGTCTGCATCTATCCTAACTATCATCATCATCATCATCATTACAGCCCTTCACAAGTCTACTGCTGAACATAGGTCTCCCCCAAAGAATGCCACAAACTACGGTCCTGAGCCACCTGCATCCATCGACTTCCTGCTTATCTTACCAGGTCATCACTCCGTCTAGTGGGGGGACGCCCTACACTTTATCGGCAGGTACGAGGCCGCCAATCCAGAACCTTTTTCCCCATCGGTTGTCGGTTTTTCGAGCCATACGGCCGGCCCATTGCCACTTCAGCTTACTAATCCGTTGGGCTATGTCGGTCACTCTGGTTCTACTGCGGATATCCTCATTTCTATGTTTATCACGCAGAGAAACTCCAAGAATAGCCCTCTCCATAGCTCGCTGAGCAACCTTGAGCTTCCTCATCCGGCCAGCAGTGAAGGACCACGTCTCAGTTCTATAGGTCATCACTGGCAACACGCACTGGTTGTACATTCTCGTTTTCAAGTTTTGAGGTATACCTGACGAGAAGATCTGCCGTAATTTCCCGAACGCTGCCCAACCGAGTTGAATCCGTCGATTGACCTCTCGGTCGAAGTTGGACTATTTGTCCCAGGTAAACATACTCGTCAAAAACTTCGAGCTTAGTGCTCCCAACAACTACCGGCATAGTTGTGACATGGACATTAAACATGATCTTTGTTTTGTCCATGTTCATCTTAAGACCTATCCGTTGGAAAACTCTATTGAGGTCATTGAACTTAGGTCCTGCAGCGATTCCGCCATAAGTACGATATCGTCGGCAAATGGAAGGTGAGTGATGTACTCACCATTGATGTTAATACCGTATCCTTTCCAGTCCAGAAGTTTGAAATTCTTCCAATGCAGCCGTGAAGAGTTTCGGGGATATAACGTCACCCTGTCTTAAACCTCTCTGCAATTGGATAGGTTTCGTACTCTGGTTCTGTACTCGGATTGCCATCGTAGCCGTACTGTACAAGCACTTCAGCACTTCTGCTATGAGTCTCCGGTCTAATGCACCCACGGGGTACGGAATTAAAGAGCTTCTAAAGAACTTCAAGTACCGGTTTTCCACCCGCTTTCAGAAGCTCCGCTATAGTTCAATCCTCGACTGGGGCCTTGCCGTTTTCAAGGTGCTGGAGAGCCATTTTAATCTCGCTCAGACTGACGTCCGGGATATCATCGGAATAGTGTCGGATAAGATCTCGCTCTTGGATCGTCGTTGGAACCACACGCAAGTGTGTTACTCACACTTGCGTGTGGTTCCAACGATGATGTGTACAGTTGCCCATAGAACCTCTCAATCTCACTCAAAATCTCAGGTGTCCCCGAAACGACGCTGCCACACTCGGTCTTCAGCTTCGACAGTGGGCTCTTTCTGGCAGACAGATCTCTAGCAAAGACTTTGAAGCCCTGGTTCCGCTCGATCGCTTCTTTAATACGAGCAGTATTAAAGTTACGTAAGTCTCGCCGCATGCATTTGGAGATCTGTCTGTTCAGTTGCCTGTGTGCTATCAAATCTACTGAAGACTGCAGCTTCATATCCTGTCTAACAGCCATGAGATTAAGAGTGTGATCGGAGAGTTTTTGTGTTCTTCTGCGACGGGTCTTGCAAATCTTAGCTCCGACCGGATGGACAGTTTCCACGAGCTTGTCATTCATATAGTCCACTGCATTGCAATCTTCTAGGCACTGAAAATGGTTTTGTAGCTCGAGCTGAAAGGTTTCGGAACTTTAGATTAGAGCAAGAGGGGGACGGAGCGTTAACTTCATTGGACGTGACCTCTTCAACTTAACGTTAAGGTTCAATTTGCCTCTCACCATTCGGTGATCGCTGCCGGTGTTCACCCTCGTGATCACTGAGACATCACTGAACAGTTGTCGTCTGGTTGTCCTAATGAAGTCAATCTCATTTTTGTCGAACCGTCGGGGCTCGACCAGGTCCACTTTCTAAGGGGCCGCTTCTGAAAGAAAGAATTCATCATAAAGGGTCCCTCTTTCTTCATGAAGTCGGCCAGCTGCTGGCCCCTTGGGTTCCGTTGCCCTATTCCAAATTTCCCCACTTTCAGCTCACCGTTCTCTCTTGTGCCTAGTTTTGCATTGAAGTCTCCCATTAACACCGTATATTGGGTTTTGGAGGAATGCATGGCTCTAGAGATATCTCTAGAGCTATGCATTGCATGCATGCATGCATGCATACTCATACATTTCCTCCACCTCCTCATCGGGTGTGTCAAAGTTGGTGCGTAAGCCTGTATGACCTTCAGCGAGTACCGTTTGGTGATTCTGAGTATAAGGTACACAACCCTCGTCGACACACTCCCAATCTTTACAACGTTGTTGACGAGAGACTTGTGGACGATAAATCCGACACCTTCTTGGAACAGCTGGTCGTCCTCGCGGTGATAGAACAAATTGCCGGATTCGAGGATTACCGTGTCCTCCTCCTCTCTTCAGACCTCGGATAGTCCTATAATATTTCAGCGCAACTTGTATATTTCTTCTTCCAGCTCCAGGATCTTCTCGTCAGTCCTCAGGGTGCGTGCGTTATAAGTTGCCAGGTCAAGTCATCGTAGGTGGCAACCGAACCTCCGCCGGAGATTCTTAGCACCCCCTGCCCCGCCGTTATCCTTGTCGCCACCGTAGCCAGGAATAGCGGGGCGGTCGGGGACTGGGGGCCGTCTCTTAGTAACTTTATTACCATTTTGGGGGTATATTGCCATAGTTGCCACGCTTGGCGAGCGGGTTGGCAACCGCCGTTTTTTATTGTGATATTGCTGTTATCAGGAAGATGCGCTGCCCATATCCTGCCTGTTTCCCTTTGCCGCTTTTACGACACCCACGGGAAGATATGGGGTAGTGGATATTTTTAACCGCCACTAACTTTATCTAACATGTTTTTAATTCTTTCTAGACTAAGTATTGAAAGGTGCTCGATGCACGGATAATTTGCTAGTATTTTCTTATTTATATAATTTCTTATTTGTTAATATCACTTCGAATACTTATAAATTTATGTTTCAATTTTGTAGGATATGGATAGGATAGGCGTTACTTTGCGGAAATGGATTTCCGCAAAGTAACGCCTTCATTTTTATAATTGTTATATTATAATTCCATTTTTATTTGTTATCAAAAAAAATTTAAAGCATAGTCGAATTTTTAACATCAATATAATGGATATTTGCGGATATACATACTTTTAACAATTTAGCCAAGTCTGTCAAATCAAATAAGTCCCTTTTTCTAGTGAGTATTGCTGAAGAAGACGTGATCAATTAGTACCTACTGGATCACGCGAATCAAAATGTCCTGTAATTAAATCCAAGGGCCTTCATAATGTTAAACGGTGAATAATACTGCTATAAGCTAATACAGCATACGGTCTAAGATTAATTACAGTTTCGCTTTGCTTATCAACCTATAAAATCCTTAGGTGTTCGAGAGTAATGAAATGCAAACATTGTACCATTCCGTTGTCATTTGGTATGTGAGTGAGAAT